TTATTTTTTTAGAATGAGAAAGTGGGTAGCAACAATTGAATGAGATTCTGGGTTAGTCACACAATACTCTCTTGCTTTTTGGTTCGAGGAAATGCTCAACCCTTTGCTAATTGCAAACTTGGCTTCATGGATTAGATTCACACTCCACACTACAGCCCATGGAACCAGCTGCATTTTCTTCTTGGCATCCTTTCTCTGACTCCCCCCTCTGTTTCCACCTAGTGTCATCGCTGAGGTTCCCATCTGGAAAGCCTGTTGCCATAGGATACAGAATCCACAGGGGAAGAGGAAGGCTGGTTGTATGGTTAAGCTTGGCTGGTGGCTCACATAATCAGAGAAACCGTGTGGAAAGCTTGCTCATTCATGTGCAAGAGCCAGTGTTGCAGCTAAGAGATGGAGCTGCCCTGGGGCTGGCAGCTCTGACATTTGTGGGAGGGGCCTGGAGCATTTTGAGTTGTGATCCTAAGCACTGATGAGCCTGGACACTTGCGTTCAGCAATAATTGAAACCTTCATTTGAATCCCATAGAAGAACAGCTATAGTCTACTTTTTGTTGTTTTTAATTAAATGATTCAATCGGTCACAAATAACTGTAAAGTCTCTAGTCTCTGTTGTTTTCCTTTTCACTCTCAATCTCTTTCATGTGACTTCTCTCCCCTTCTAAGAAATCTCTAAGGTGACCAAGGCTTTTTGCTCACACCTGTCTCTTGATCTGTGACTCTGCTCTCCTGCCTTCATGGTGACATCAGTCTTCAGTAAGCAGCAAAGCAGGCCAGTGATCTGAACAGTTCTGAATGTGGCCTGGTTTGGGAAGAGAGGAAGTTGTTCTTCAGTTCTTGCCATTGGATTGCCCATGGTTTAGGCTCCTAGGCAAGGTCTGGAAACCCCACTTAGCACTGGGAACCCAGAGCTTTTCTGTCATGAGCACCAGCTATTAGAACCAGAGCTAATGTTTGGCAACACACTTTTCCATCTCATCTTCTGTCCTTCGTCCTTCCAAGAAATCGGCAGCTCCATAGAATTCTGCTGCAAACCCTGTCTCCTGCCTTCGTGAGCACGTTGTTGGGGTTATTTGGGTTGCTTTTGTTTATCTTTTCTACACTCACACAGTTTGCCTGTCTTGGCAGCCTGCTGGCCTCAGCTGTAATAAAGCTTCTGTCGAGGTGAGCCCTCAGCTGATGGCCTGGGGTGCAGAAGGGCCTCCTATAGTGGCTGTCTGTAATCTGCCAGTCTGGTGGTCGAAGCAGAGAACAAAACCAGTCTGTTTGCAGGCAAATTGGAAAATCAATGTTGTATTGTGGTGGTCTCTCTGCCTTTCTCCTGTCTCAAAGGGAGAGTGCTGTGCTGGCCAACAGTCCATAGCATCATCTAGGCAAGCCCCTATGCTAGAGCCTTACCTGCCTCTCACATTACCACAGTGGCTCTGAAAGGGATGCACGCTTATCTGCCTGAACTGCTTGTGAAATTGGCTGAGGAATTTCTCTCAAGCTCACCATCCAAAATTGAATCCCTTCCAGACCAGTGTTTTGACTTGTTCATGTTCCAGAAGTTGTATACTAATTCCTTCTTTTTCTTTAAGCATTAAAGGTGGACTTAGAAATAGGACTTAGAAAGGAGTTTGCTGGCTACCTGTTTGGGAAAGGCAGGAATTCCACTTTGGGCAGCATATTTCATAGTATATATGTTTACTATTATTCCTGAGGGGGTGTGATGGTGGCATTAGTTAAAAATGTCCTAGGCATTTAGTATGCCTATGACTGTTAGGCCTCACAGAGTTGCTGGGCAGCAATGATTGTATGAGATACCTGAGTAATGTTCCCTTTAGGCTTCTAAAAATAAAGTGTGAGAAGGAAAGTGCTTTCCTATTCTCCCAGGTGTTAAAACTTAGACTGTTAGCAAAAAAGGCTTTAAATAAATTTTAATTTAAGCTGTAGAGGCCAACAGCTAGATTTTCAGTGTTCATCTTCAAAGTCTAAGAATTGTCTGCTGATCATTATTAAGAGAAAAGGGGTTTCCTTGGATATGGTCATGATTATGGTCACAGATAAGGTTTAAAGTCTGTCAACAAAAAAAAGCCATAGCCTCTGGCCATTGGAGACATCCTAACAGAAGATTAAAATGATGATTAGGTTTAAAGCACTCTTGGGTAAAGGAGGTAATTGGCATTTAAATTTTTATCTGCTTTAAAATGAAAGATAGACTAAATAACCACTAAACCCACAAAACCCTTTAACATTTAGCAGTCCCCTTGGACCATGCCCTCCTTTTATTATTAAATATGTGTGTAATGGGGCTATAAATGCACCAATATAAAACAGTCAAACAGCCGCTGTTTTTCATATATACTGTAGGTGCTGACCACATAATTATGTACATAATTGTATAGCGTTTAATAAGTGTGTTGATTGAAGCTGTTTTTATTTGCTTTAAACCTGTGTGGGCTAAGAAGTCTCAGACACTGAAGAATCACGTGGAATAAGTGGGTCCCACGTACCCTGTGGTGTCCAAGGAAGGAACGTGGCCATCACTGAGGGGGTGCACCTGCTATTTTACCTGTCATTATTTTTTTAAAGTAAAGATCAGCTAAGTGGTAGCTGACCTGCAGAACGTTTGCCTAGTATCCACATCAGGAGGCTCCCAACTGGGATCCTACTCTCTGGCCTTAGCAAGCACCTGCATATACCTGTACATATGCTTATACAGACTCACCCACATATGTATCCAGAGTGGCTAGACATTGCCTTTCATTGCTTAGTCTCAACCTGAATTTGCCGTTGTTATGTTTCTGATTTTTAAATTATTTATTTATTTTATTGTGTATGAGTGTTTTGCCCACAAGTATGTAAGTGCACTTGTGTTGTATAGTGTCCATGGTGGCCAGAAGAGGACATCAGATCCCCTAGAACTGGAGTTACAGATGGTTGGTTGTTAGGCACCATGTGGTTGCTAGAAACTGAACCTCTTCAAGAGCAGCCAGTGCTCTTAACTGCTGAACCATCTCTCCAGCCCATTTCTGTTTTTTTTTAATATATTTTTTATTTTATGTGTATGAGTGTATTGTCTGCTTGTGTGTAAGTGTACCTGTGCTGTGCAATGCCTGCGGAGGTCAGAAGAGGACATTGAATCCTCTGGAACTGGGTTACAGATGGTTGTTCACCACCATGTGGGTGCTGGGAACTGAACCCTGATCCTCTGCAAGAGCAGTCAGTGCTCTTAACTGCTGAGCCATCTCTCCAGCCCCTTAAGTATAATTTTTATTGAATTTTTGTGTATTTCATACACAACATCTTAGTCCCCTTTACACCCTCTCCCCCCTCAGCACTTTCCCTTATCATTTCTGATTTTTAAAAGAGCTAATTCTACAAAGAAAATTAAGATATTTTCCTGCCAAATCTGACAGACAGACAGATGACAGACAGACAGACAGACAGACAGACAGACAGACAGACAGACAGACAGACAGATAGATAGATAGATAGATAGATAGATAGATAGATGACAAAGGGAACAAGTGGAGTGTGTAAATGTGGGTGTGTGACTATGATAGCAACACTCAAGATGCAGAGGCAGGAGAATCATGAATTCACAGCCAGCCTGTCCTACATAGCAAGACCCTGCCTGGGTGCAGAGAATGGGGAGAGTGACTTGACTCTAAGCCTATGAAATATGAAACGTTTTCAGATCTTATTGTCAGCAAATCTCGCACCAGAGAACTAATAGCCTAAATTAAATATTTCTCTCTTTCCCTCCTCTCAGCTTTTACTGTGGCACATGAAGAAGGGAAACAACCTCAGCAGCACATAGCAGGGACTAACCAGTGCCTCTAAATACACAGTATTATCCTGTGGCCTCAGCTCTTAAATATGGCAAAAAGTTCTTTAGTTACAAGTTTTTGTCTTTTTTTTTTTTTTTTCAACAAAAGAGTTTGACTTTTGGGGGCCTGAGAGCCTGCCTGCTTCCTGAAGGCTTAAAGAAAATGGGGCTGCAGCTGACAAGAGAGAATGTATGAAGAAGATACAGCCTCATCAAAACAGATAAAAAGAGAGACCACCAGCCGGGTGTGGTGGCGCATGCCCTTAGTCCCAGCAGAGGCAGGTGGATCTCTGAGTTCAAGGCCAACCTGGTCTATAGTGAGTTCCAGGCCAGCTGGGGCTATAGGGAGACCCTGTCTCAAAAAGACCAGAGAGAGAGAGAGACTACTTCCCCCCTTAGACACGCTCCTTGTAATCCTGTCTCCACTCCAACCCTGGGGAACCGAGAGAAGTGCCTTCCAGCCCAGATGGTAGCAATGTGTGTGGACTGAGGCCCCCACAGCATTTCAGGAGCCCTTCTTCTGTGAGGTTACTACTATTTCAGGCCGCCTGCCACTGTGGAACCCTGTGGGTTGCTGTGCGCTAAACGGCAGCAGTAGAGCTCTGAAGAGCACTGTGGGACTGTGGTTCCTAAAGAACATGATTGTGAAATTTTCCCCCACCTTTAGTATTTTTATTTGTTTTCTCAATCAGTAGCATCCCGGTTTCTCCTGAATGCACCCAGAAATATCTGTAACTGCAGACTGATTTCCTGATAGCTGCTGTGCTACCCTGGTTTTCTTTTCTTGTCTTCATCTGTTTTATTTCCAAAGTGTCAGCTCCAGCTTCACATCTCCCTTCCAGTAGAATATGCATTTACATAAAGCTGTGGCTAGTATTTTCCCCAAATCATTTTCCATAACTCATATTAAAGCAAGGTGTTAAAGCAGAGGGTGTTAAATTAAAAAAAGAATTTTTATAATTTATTTTTTAATTTTGCCTTCCCTTTTCCATTTTAGGTCCATAGTTAATAAGTTTCAACCTCAAGGTTTTAATAGCTTCATGTCAATGTGACCAAAACACTCATGACTTTTCGTCACATTGGCTATACCCAGTAAATATCCAAAAGAAAAGCCTTTGGATGGAAGATGCTTTAGCTTTAACATTTAAGAAGTAACATTGGTTTTCCCCTTTTTATGTTTTATTTAGATTTCGACACAGTCCCAACTGCTGGTACCTGAGAGACTGGATTATCCACACTTGGATCAGGCAGTGTCTGAAATATGGTGCACAAGACAAAGCTTTATATACCCTTGTTAATAAGGTGAGGGATTTCCTGTCATGCTGCCTCGGTGTACATGATGTGCTCTTTGTACTTGGTGCAGAGTGGCAAAGACTAGTGCCAGAGACCACTTTTGAGAATTATTTACCCTCAGATGTCCTTTTCATGTCCTTTCAAAATGGAGCTCGTTATTAATCAACAAATTAAAAAGCCTAAAATTCCTATAGCTGCTTGTTTTCCAAACAGAATAATCAGGAGAGGACAGGTGAGAGAGGGAGTCCAGTCAGAGCTCTGCTTGGGTGGTGTTCTGTCCTTCATCCCTAAGCCTCGGATTCCTTCCCTGGCTCTCTTTGATATAGTGAGTGAGAGTGAGAACTGCTTCTGATGGAGTGTAATCTCCAGCATGTTGAGACTGTCTCACAGGGTTTTTAAACGACACTATTCCTAGATAATTCATCCTGTCTTCTGGGTTTCTTTTCTCCTCCCCTCAAGCTCCAGAGCCCCTATGAGTAGGATCCTTCTGATGTTGCACTCCACCCAGTGGTTCAGTCTTCATTGACATGACGGCATGAAAGTACATGCAAAATAAATGCAAGAATTTAGAGTTACTGTTGTCGTAGTCAAGTGAAACACTACTTTGAGTCAAAAGCATTTTAGCAAAGTGTTTTGAAATAATATTATTTTAAGAGTATCACTGGATCTTAAAAATTAGAGCTCAAGGGGAATAATGATTTCGTTTTTAGTTCCTCTCTGTGAAGAATTATTTTGATCCATAATTTAGATCCAAATCAAATCAGCATATATTCTACACAGTTTGTATATAAGTAGATGGACTGATTACAGTGCCGAAGACAGAAATGAGCAGTATCCTCTTTTTGTGGGGGAAGCTGATATTTAATAAGGCTAATATACCTGCTCTCTGGTAAGCCTAATGTGAGACAAGCATTAAGTGCCACACATGAGGACCAATAAAAAGGGAAATAAGACATGGAATCCAGGTAGAAGAGAAGAATTAGAAGATTCATGAGCACCATTTAAGCTGGTCACCAGAAGATGCATACTTGGGCAGTAATATGCTGCCCTTTTGCCTAGAGTATAGGTGTATTAAGAGGGGTCTGAGTCAGAGAAGAGACTGACCTAGATCCCTAGATATGGACAGTCAAGGTTATGGCTTTCTATCTCTAGAGGAAGAAAAGGAGGTCCCAGGGGAAGGAATGGATTGAATCTCTTCTCTTCATTCCAGAGATTACACTGAAGGTGAAGATTCCCATAAGAATCCAGAAGGCTCTAGAAAATTAGACCAAAGGATCTCTTTTCTGTTGTCCTGGGCCTTTTAATAGAGAAACTACCAACTGAGGGGTGAGAAGACCTAGACTAAAGCCCCATAAATTCTGTTAGTTGACCTGTAGACAAATAATTCTCTCCTCTGTGTCTTTGTTTTTTGTTGTTTGGGGGGGTTTTTTTTCAACTCCAGTTTGAGTGATAATTCATGATTTCCTACTTTGGCTGCCCATTGGAGTTAACCAAGAAGGTTTTTAAAATTTATAGATGTGGGCTGGAGAGATGGCTCAGCAGTCAAGAGCACTGACTGCTCTTGCAGAGGACCTAGGTTCAATTCCCAGCACCCACATGGCAGCTAACAAACCATCCTTAACTCCAGTTCCAAGGGAATCCGAAGCCCTCTTCTGACCTCCGCGGCATTGCACGACATGGGTGCACTCACATACATGCAGGCAATACACTCATACACATAAAAAAAAATAAATTTTTTTTTTAAGTTGTAAAATTTACAGATGCTTGATGCTAGGGAGATAGCTCAGAAATAATTACCATCCAAGCTGAGGTCTTGCGTTTGAATCCCAAGCACCCGCCTAAAAAGTCAAACAGGGCAGCCCTCACTATAATCCTAGCACTGGGGAGGTGGAAACAGCAAGGGCCCTGGGGCTCACTTGCCAGTAGCCGAACTGTCCACCTCTAGGTTCACTGAGAGATCGTATCTCATAGAATAAGGCAGAGAGTGATTGAGGAAGACAGTGGACATCAACCTCAAGCCTCCACATGTACACACATACCACATACAAAAATAACAAATAAGGGGCTGGAGAGGTGGCTCAGTGGTTAAAAGCACTAGTTGCTTTTGTAGAGGACCTGAGTTTGCTTCCCAACACTCACGTGGCAGTTGTCGTTAGCTTCAGTTCCTGGGGATCCAATGCCCTCTTCTGACCTCTGAGGCATTGTATGCATATGGTGCACTTACATACATGCATGGAAAATACATGAGATATAAATAAATGAATAAATTTATAACCCAAGGCAGTCCTGTGCCTTAGCCTCCTGGGGGCTACAGGCATGAACCACCACTCTTGGCTTGGACCAGTTAATTTCTAAGGTTCTTCTCAACTTTAATGATATCTCATTCTAAAATATTTTGGTTTCAGCCTGCCTTTGGGGATAAGTGTTGAAGTGGATGAGTGCTTGGAGAAATAAATACAGGTGCTGCCCATGAGCTGCAGCCTTTGTAACAGTGGCTTTTCAACACTTTTTCATTTCAGCATACCTGAGGCATCCTGTACACGCTGCCAGTGAGTGAGTCAGTTCCTCAGTGACTCACAGCTGGGGTTAGGACTGTATCAGAACCTCTAAGGGCTAGGTGGAGCAGGAAAAATTCCTGGCACTTGGCAAGGATTTTGAAAATGGAGCAGGGAGGTGAATCCTATTGAAGTAAGGATTCAAAGCAAAATTGTAACCATGATCCAAATTGTTGGTAGTCAGACTCAAGTGCTCATGAAAATCACACAAGAAGCCCACTAAAACTTCAGCATTCTAGGCCCAATTCCTAGACATTCTAATTCTGTGGGACCGAAGCTTTGGAATTCATTAAATCAGTCCTAGCAAATTTTGAGGCTTATTCTTAAATTCTGACATCTTAACTATTCTGCCGTCTTTAATATTCAAGTGCTTGTAAACACAGACTCCTAGGGGGCTCATTAGTAGCAAATTGTTGGCATGTTACTTGGGTCTTTAGAAACTTGAGCATACGGGGCTGGAGAGATGGCTCAGCAGTTAAGAGCACTGACTGCTCTTGCAGAGGACCCGGGTTTGATTCCCAGCACCCACATGGTGGCTACGAACCATCCTTAACTCCAGTTCCAGGGGAATCTGAAGCCCTCTTCTGACCTCCGCAGCATTGCACGACACAGGTGCACTCACATACATGCAGGCAGTACACTCATATACATAAAATGAAAATAAATAAAATATTTTTTAAAAAAAGTAAAATAGAAGGTTGAGCATAGACCAGAAAGTGCTATATAATGCGTTCTTTCTCTAGATGGTCTATTTTTGCCTTGTCATTCATGCCTTATAAAAAGAATTACCGAACCAGTTGTGAAGAGACCAGATGTTTAGTCTTTTCGTTGTTTTTAGCTGTGACAGGTTGTTAGAATTGTCCTATTTCCAGCTATCAGTTGTCTTGTATCAGACAGTCACTCACAATGTTCTCACCCTGACTAGCAGTTCCAATTTCCAAATCTCCTGAGTCATGGCTTCTGTTTCACTGTCACAAATACTGAGAAATGATATCATATAGTTTAATGCTAATGGGGCCAAGTTTTATCCTGAATAATCGATAGGCATATATTATAGACCAAATTGAAGAGGATATATATTCATATGTTCTCTCTCTCTCTCTCTCTCTCTCTCTCTCCCTCTCCCCCCCCTCCTCGCCTCTTCTCCCCCTCTCCCCCTCTCTCCCTTCCCCTCTCTCTCCATTTCTCCCCCCTACATTTTTATTACAGGTTCAGTATGGAATCTTTCCAGATAACTTTACATTCAATTTACTGATGGATTCTTTCATAAAGAAAGAAAATTACAAAGGTAAGAAACTAAGATTCAGTTTACACAGGGCATTCAGCTCTCAAAGGGCAGTGTGTGAATGCAGGTACCTTCTTTCTCCCTTAGTTCTCAATTGCATCTCTTTGCATTTCTTTACATTATTATTTTAGTCAGAAAAGTTCTCATGAAGATTATTACCACTTAAGCAAAAATGTTTAAATATCACCCTTTTTCTTGCTGGGACAGGACATATCAAAGTACATAAATAATTATAGAGAAAAATTATATGGGCCAATCTAATTTCACTTCCCAAGCTGATTGAAATGCAGACTGTAAAGTATTAAGTGAAAATTGATTTAGTTTTCATGTGTAATTTTGGAATCTGTAATGAACAGTTGGCAGAATTTAGATTTAAAAGATGACTCAGTGGGTTAAGGCACCTGCCTCTAAGCCTGAGAACTTGAATTCAATCCCCAGGACCTGCATAGTGGAATGAGAGAACCAATTCAGTGTCCTAGAGCACATCAGTCATTTAGTACATACGTACAGAGTGAACAGAAAGTATAATAGAAGCTAAAGGCTCGGAAAAGACTTACTTTGTGGAAGAACGAGGACCAGAGCACATAGTTTTTACTTCTTACTCTGTTCATTTTTCTATCATGCTCCACTTTGAAAGACTATATCTAGAGATTTGGTGATGTTACCTACAACTAATTTCCTCTCATGTTCACTTTCATCTTCGTGCCAGATGCTTTATCTGTGGTTTTTGAGATCATGATGCAAGAAGCCTTTGAAGTACCTTCCACCCAGCTTCTCTCCCTCTATGTTTTATACCACTGCCTGGCACAGAAGACAGACCTCACGGTAAGTGAACTGCCCTAGAGCAGAGCTGAGAACTCGAGGAAAGGCAAGCAGTGACTGCCTGGTTAGATAGGAGGGGCCAGAGGAAACCTTGCTCTCAGAACCTGGAGAACGATATCCAGTGCACAGCTCTGGCCATGTGCAACCAGAAATGAGTGTTCATTCCGTATATTTTGCTTTTCAGTTTCTAACAAAGTGGAACTGGATGTTTTTCCACTTGAAAGAATCCCAAGTGAAAGCCCTTATATGCGTGTTTTGGAGGGATTTGTTTTTCTTTTGTGGTACTGGGGATTCAACCCAGTTCCTCTTGCATGCTTCTACCATTGAGCTATAGCCTCAGCCCCTTGTCCAACATTTTGAAACCTGAGTCAGGTGAAGTGACCTCAGACTTTAAGCAGTTTGTCATTGATAATCATTGAGAACCATAACACGCTAAAGCAGCTGGTGGCAGCCAGTTTTGACCATGTGCTAGTGTACTGAATATTAATTGTTTTGTTTGTGTCTGTGTTGCCCTTAGGTTGCTCCAGACTAATTGTGCTCAATGTCCAGAAGGCTGAGTTTGGTTTTCACTCTTTGTTAGGACATTTAGTCACTCTTTCTTGTTATCCTAAGAAAACAGTGATAACAACAATAACCAATACTTAAATTGTACTTACTGTGTTCTTGGGATTTTAAATGTATTAACGCCATTAGTCCTCATAGTAACTCTACCTAGGTAAGGAGAGTTACAGAATAGCCATGAACCCAGCTGGTGAAGCCAGGCAGTGTGGCTCTGTGATCTACCCTTAACTTCAGTGAAACATACAAAAATCTCACTTTGAGTAGGAACTGAAATGACCATCCAGTCTAGTCCAAATTCTAAAGAACTGAGCCTTTATGCTTTACTGAGCCTAGGGTATATCCCACATTCACAATTACTTCATTAAATATATATTAAACACCTGTTTAATTAACAAGTGCTAAACAGTGATAAACAGACCTTTTTTGTTCATATTCTAGGATTTTTAAAACAAAACAAACTTGCAACTATAAAATTATGACCTAATGAGCTCTACAAAAGAAAAGTCAATTAAAAGCCCTTATTGAAGAGTTTTCTTTGTATTTTAAACTTAAGTTGATTAGCAAGGGTTTCCCTTAAGGAGGTTTTTTTTCAGATTAATACTTCAAGGATAAATGATAATTAACTGGTAAAAGAGGAAACTTAACAGTCTGAAAAGAGAAAATAACATGCCAAACTGAGATGGAAAGAACATGATGAGCAGAAAGGGACTGAAGGAAGCAGACGCAGTCGTGGGGAGGCCAAGGGAGGAGGATTGCTTGAGTCCTAGGACTACCTGGGCAGCATAGTGAGACAGACCCAAAGATTGGGGGGAGGGGAGATATGACAAGAACTTACCTGGCAGGGGAGATACCATGATGACGATGGTCCTTTGATGCCCCTATAGCAGAGAGAACGCCAGGGAGAATATGAGTGGGATAAGGCTAGAGAACATGGGCCATTTTGCCTTCTTCCTAAGAATAGTGAGGAACCACCAAAAATTTTTTAAGTAGAAGGATTATTATAATCAGATTTGTGTTTTGAAGAGATCTGTCAAGCTGTAATGTAGTAAGGGCTCAGAGAAGGGCAGAGGAGGCTGTGGTCAGCCCAGTTCAGACACTCCACTGAGTTGAGAGGAGATATGAGTTGAGTGGAGTCAGAGTTCTTGCTGGATATTTGGGGAGGTGAAAAACAGGATGAGAGCTAGATACAGAAACAGAGAAAGTAAGGGGTCAAATATTAGCATCTGAGTTTCCAGTTCACCTGGAGAAGATGGGGCATCATGTGTTTGCAAAGGGAACTCTGGGGGAAAAAAAGACAGGAAAATTGTTGATTTGACTCTGGCCATGCTGTAACGTGGGGTGCCTGGAGACAATCCAGAGAGTTCTCAGTGGAACTGGAGATGGATTAAGGAACTTGGAATGGATTAAGGAGAGATTTGTAGGTACACAGAGGAAACAAGAATGTATGATTCATGAAATGCCTAGTTGTGGAGGAAGAAGTGGAGAAGAGGAAGCTTTGATTTGTATTTATAGGAAAGGCAGCACGTGAAATGGCAGACCTTGAAGAGATGGTTAAATAGTGTCTGAGTTAACCCATGGAACATCCTTTAAGATGCTTAGGACCCAAACTGTTTGGGATTTCAAATTGTGGAATATTTGTACTGACATAAATAGTGAGATATGTTGGGGATGGGACACCAGTCTAAACAAACTTGATTCTTGTTTTATGTATACTTTATACTTGTGGCCTAAAGGTGATTTTTATACAATATGTTTAATTTGTGCATGAAACATTTTGTGGTATAGAATTTTCTGCTTGCAATGTCATGTCAGAGTTCAAAAGTTTCGGGTTTTGGACCATTTTGGATTTTCATATTTTGAATGTTCAACTTGTGTTATCCCAGTCATCATCAATGCTGACTGACATCCAGCACATCAAGGATAGCTGATGTTTGCTTATTTTGCTGTTCATTTAGCTTCTAGCCCTTATTAAATCCTGATATTGTAGCTCATGTTTTCTCTACAGGAAAAATAAAAGTTTTTAGCCAGCAAGATGGCTAAGAGTGAGTAAGGGCACATGCAACCAAACTAGATGACCTGAATTCAGTCCCTAGAACCCACATGGTAGGAGAGAACCAACCCCTGCATCATGTTGTCCTCTGACCTCTACCCATGTGCATGTGTGCACACACACATACACAGACATACACACACAAATAGACAAATATATATTGTAGACCAACCTGGGCTGCATAGCGAGTTCCAGGCCAACCAGAGCTGTATAGGGAGACCATGTATCAAAAATAAAAAAGAATAAAGCTAAGTAAAGTAATAAATATTTTTTAAAGTTTCAGGCTTTCTTATTATGCACTGGAACCACTTTGCAAAGTTGCCTATGAGAGAAATCAAACTCACCTGGGTTAGAATGGTTTGCTTTGGGGGTGTAGCTCAGTGGTACAGTGCTTGCCTAGCAAGCACAAGGCCCTGGGTTTGATCTCCAGCATACAAAGAAACTGGAATGGTTTTATTTTGAAAGTAAAGTGGCCTAGTGCTTAATTATCAGCTCCTTTACTTATCTGAGCTGTGGGAGTACCCAGGGAGGTTTTGGTTTTTTCCCAAGGTATCTATTTTTTTTCAAAGGTTTAGGAAAACCTTGACAACTGGCACTTGTATTACATAAAACAGTCAAGAGATCTGGGTACCTACTAATACCTACAGATTCTCACTCCCAGTGGCAGCAGCTACAGCCTGTAGACTGTGTCCCTTCTGTGCTTCCCCCCTCACTTCTAAGGGTAGAAATCAGTACAGGGCAGCCCCAGCTTTGTGCTATCCAAGAGAGGGCTGTAGGTCTGGACCTTGTGTACTCGTATGGTGCTGAGAGGAACACAGCTCCTGTTGTCTAGGGAGTTGCCAAGCCTCCTCTGGGCCCTATGTTTCCGGGGAGTACCCCAGACACATCTGTTACTAGTGGCAGGCTCAGAAAGGTTTGTGAGACCCCCCCCCTCCCATTTATTTATTTTTTTTCTTTTCATGCCTCAAAAGGCTTCAATTTTATTGAAATGTAATTTTGCACCCTGGGTTGAAAGAAATAGTCCCTAAGTGTTTCTGATTGCCTAATTTGTTTTCAAGAGGCACAAATCTATCTAAAAGCAACTTAATAATGGTATTTATTTTAACGTTATGAAGAAGTCTTATCACTGCTGGATTGTTTAAGATCCAAAGTGTGCTCCCTCATGGTGTAGCAATCTGAGTAAATACGTAGCTGACAGCATGCGGGATCTTCATTGACCCTCTAAAGTCAATACAGGTCCTGGGTGGACTCTATTTTTTTCTGATTGTAAAAGCACCCATTCATTACTAAAAATCTGGAAAAGTAAAAAGAACAAAGAATAAAACCAAAACCAGGCTGTAATCTTTTTAGTATACATAGAGCATTTCTGTTTGCTTGTTTATTTTTAATATAAGTACCTTTTATTTATAACACTGAGATAGCTTATGTACAGCTTTGTTATTTTGATAAGCTTAATGCTATAGCATAGTTTTTTTCAGTGTCATTAAAAATCACATTTTGTGTAACATATTCATTGCTTCAGTAGATATGATCTGATCTATTCTGTTGCAGTGGGAGGAAGAGAGGAACTTTGGTGTGTCCCTGTTACTTCCAGGCCTAAAACAAAAGAACCCAGTGGGTTTGAGCTCCCAGTTGTACGGCTGTGCACTTCTTGGTAAGCTAAGTGATCCTTATTAATACTGTTCTTCATGAGTAGATGGGATGTAGCTTTTTATCTAGTGGTAAAATTAAGCTTTAAATTTCCTAATGAAATTCTAATTATAACCTTCATATTTAGACAAAAAAATAAGTAAGCCTCAGTGGTCTTACAGTTACGAACAGTTAAGAAATATCTTAAAGCCAGGTGTGGTGGTGCACACCTTTAGTCCCAGCACTTGGGAGGCAGAGACTGGTGGATCGCTGTGAGTTCCAGGCCAGCTGGGGCTACAAAGAGACCCTGTCTCAAAAAGACAAAAAAAAGCGAGAGAGAGAGAAATATCTTAAGGCCTGTCACCACTGGCAAGGTAAGAACTGGTTCTAGTAGCTGTAGGTAATATTTATTATGAACAGCATGAGGACCAGGAAAGTTCTGGTGCTTTAATAAGGTGAGACAGCCAAGATGCTGTCACAGCATTAACAAGCTACAGTCCAGGAGGTAAGAAATAGAGAGTTAAGGTTCACCTTGTGTCCCTGATTTTGTTTTCAGATGAGAGAAGAGAAAGTCCAGAGGGCACCATTAGTAGCTCTCTGGGAATGATTGTACAGTCCAGGTGCCATGGTGATTTTAGTACCCCATTGCTTTGGAAATGGGGCAGGGTCAGGCGTGGCCTCAGTACCTGGGCTATGTGGAATCTAGGCAAATAACATACAGCTGACTGCATTAAATGTGTCATAGTCTACAAAGATTTATTGGAAGTCTGTTACTTCATTACTCTTCTACTGTCTCCCACTTTTCTCTGGGAAAGCACCTTCTCTTCATCCATTGCTTCTGCCTGTCTTTCATAGTTAGAGCAGTTTGTTTCCTATTGAAGTTTATTTTTGCCAACAAACTATCATAGCATTCTTGGATGCTGATTCAGATTTATAAACTACTCAGAGAAGTATCTCACATTTGTCAGACTGGCTAGTACACTAACCAAAGAATTGCTAGCAAAAACGCTGCTGTTTGGTTCAGTTTGGGATTTTTGTTTTTGTCTTGTTTTTGGCTGGGTTTTTTGTTATCTTTTTCTTTTAGGCCAGGTCTCATGTGTCCCAGGCTGGCCTTGAACTTACTATGCAGCTAAGGAGGATGACTTTGACCTTCTTATCCTCCTGAGTGCTAAGGTTACAGGTTTGTACCGCTACTGCTGGTTTATGCACTGCTGGGGATTGACCCCAAACCCTTGTACATGCAAAGCAAATGCTCTACCATCTGAACTCTGTCCTCAGTGCTGGTATTTGGCCTTTTGAGACAGGTCCTGGTGGTAGAGCTCAGGCTGGATTCCCAGTCTCCACCCTCTAGGTATTGGAATTACAGGTGTGTGGTACCACACCCAGCAATACATTTTGCTTACTGCCTACTTTGGATACTGATTTACATTTTTTTGTGTGTTCAGGACCACTGTACTTCACGGATCATTCAGGAAGTTGGCAAGGCTAGGAAAACTTATTAGCTTTTTTTTATGAGTAGAGGCCCTGGTCCCTTGTAACAGACAGCCATTGCATCAGAACCCCCTTATTTTTATTGTGTCATGCTGTTCAGCCTTACTCAACTCAAGCCAGTGGCCCAGAATGATCCCTGTCTAGCACCAAGCACCTTAAAGATCTAAAATTAGCTGTGTTGTGCCCAGAGACTGGACCCCCAAGAATAACAATGGAATCCAGAGGGCATGCAAGAACAAAGAGTCTTTATTCGGGCTTAAGCTCGGGCTCTCGGACCTCACCATCGCGATGGATCTGTGCTGAGAGCCCCGATCACAGGGGGTGGAAGCACTTTATAGGTTTTAGACAAAGGGAGGAGGGGAATAACAGAGTCACACTTTGATTGGCCCGAGGAGCCCGTGCGCGCCAACACACTTTTGAATTGATTGGTGGTTATAAGGGATGCAGTCCTGGGCGCTTCTCATTGGTGGGTGCTATCCTCAGGGCTGTGGAATGTGCTGACTGTTATCTGTAGAGCCAGAAGTCTCTGTTTCTACCTTATAAGGCTGCTATATGTCTGGGCTTGCTTGACCTATAGCCTCCTGAGGTGGGGGTGGAAGGTGGAGATTACGACATGCCTGGGCATGTTCAGGCTTGCCTGAAACAGCTAGTCAAAATGGGGTCAGTACAGTTTGTCCTCTCAGCCAAGCAATCAAGCAGTTTACAGAAGCGAAAAAGAGCAGTTAGTCCTAAAGAGGGGCAGGGGTCTCGGGAGTCCAGAGCAGGGGGCCAAGGAGGGGGGTTTCACAGCTGTCGCCTGATAAGCTTTGTGTGTTGGTATCCTGCTATAGCTTCCCCAATCCTCCTTCCCAGAAAGGATAAGTGGAGGTGGATTTGAAACCTGGGAGCTCAAGGCGACTTTAGTCATGAGTGCAGAGAGGGTTTTTGTTCCACAGCCCAGATGGCCCCTGTCCTTCAAGGGACCCTGCTGCTACATTCACAGCTTATGCTCCAGTTTGAGGTACCCAGGAAAACATTCATTCCCTGTGAGCAGAAAAGGCAACCAGGACTCTAGTTTAAGAACTGATAAAACTCAAAGAAAAGAAGAAAGAGGGTTTTTGTTGTTGTTTTTCTTTCTTTTTCATATATACAGTAGATTGTATATTTGATGCTTTTCAAAACATGTCAGATAATTCCTGGCAAGGGGGAGTTGTCAGATGTTCACAGAGTTTTCACAGTAGGAAAATTGTGAAATTTCTTTTTCTGGGGAAGGTTTTGGCCTTGAAACAAAAATAGTATTTCTGTTGGCTATGTCTTAAGGGTAGCTTCCTTAGAAGCAGCTCTGTCAGTCCTCAGAATTCCCTCAGCTCAGCGATTCACAGGCCCTTGTGAGAATCTCTCCAGTCAAATGAAAAGGACAGAAAAACCAATTCACACAATTTGCATTTAAATGCTAGATAGGTTGACCAGGCTCTAGGGGATAAACTTGGAGGGACATCTGGATACACAAACTTGTCTCTCTGATAGGCCTTAAGATATATGAGAGAATGCATGAAATCCTGTGGGTAGGCTATGTGGGGGTGCACATAGGAGAGGCATCTAAATATGATTAAGATCTAGTGTATGGAATGCACAACAATTCAATAAAAATATTGAAAACTGAAAACAGCGTGCAGGGTGAGGTTCAACACGTTCTTCACCAGCTCGGCGAGCATTCTCTGGTGCCTTTCAATCTTTGGCTGTAGACAGAATGGGGGGACATGGCTGAGGCGTCTTCTTTGTTCTTTTGGCCATAGGGAAGGTGGAGCTGCAGCATGGACTACGGGCTGTGTACCACAACATGCCTCTGATATGGAAACCGGGCTACCTTGACAGAGCCCTTCAAGTGATGGAGAGAGTGGCCTCATCTCCTGAAGACCTCAAGCTGTGTAGAGAAGCGGTACGTTCCTAGGCTCCTCAGCCCTCACTCAGTGAGATGGAGCCATCTCTGTTCACCTTGATGGTCGAATTCATTTTCATTGTCTTTTCCCTTCCTCTACTTTCTGTTTCTGTATTTGTACAGAATCGGTACTTACCCAGTGGAAAAGGAATGAAAAAACAAAACAAAACAAAAAAACACAAACATTTTCAATGCTGCTGACAAAAAGCACTGGAAAACAAAATTAATGTTGATTTAGACCTCACTGTGTAAGAGAAACTGTTCCCCTCCTCTGCAATTCAAGCTGTGTTCAGTAAATACCATCCACTCCTTTGTCCTCACTCCCATCCAAAAGAAATAACTGGCAGCATAAGAGTAAGATTAAAACTTTTTGGCATTTTTAACCCTTATGTAGTCCTGAGAGACTACCTAACAATTTTTCTTTTCCTATAAAAGCCTTCAGGAGGACTGGAGAGATGACTCAGTCAGTAAAGCACTTTCTTCACAAGCATAAGTACCTGAGCTCAGATCTCCAGAACTCATGTAAAAAACCAGGCACAGCAGTGCATGCCTATAATCACGGCAATGCAAGTTGGGAGGCAAAGACAGACAGGTCCTGGAAACTCAGCTCACTAACTTGGTAAAGTTCCAGGCCAATGAGAGACTCTACCAAAAAAGTGGAGAGTGACTGAGGAGTGGCACCTGAGGTTGTCTCCTGACCTCCACATGCACATGCATGTGTGATTATCACCTACCCCTCACCCTGTCATACAAAAACCCCTAAGAAATGTACTCTGCTTCCATTGGACTGTCCTGTGGTATATGTGTGATTTTGAAGTCTATGTCAAAGTTCTTGGGGGTTTTTGGCCTGTCTTAGCACCATCTTCCCACTAGCACCAAGGTTCATCTCTTAGTCACCAAAGACCCTTGACTCTATGAGTTTACTAGACTTAGCTCAGACCAGGAAACATAGCAAGGCTTATAACCCCACAGGGAACCATAGTATTCCCTCATGTCCCTGCTGCTCTGTCAAGAATGGGGCTCAGAGTTTGTCTTATTGCCAGAGTGAAGGTCATCTTGGAGCTGCTCCTATTTTGTCTTGATGCTGATCACTAAGGCTCACTCCTTGACCTTCATTTCAGTCATGAGACGTGCAGTCCAGTGCCCACGCTGACACCTTAGGCTGGAGTCTACTGAATCATTACCCTCTTTCCCAGACATTATAACTGGGGACATATACTTGTAGCTATGTGTGTTTGAAGTCGCCATAGTCACTACTATCTTACAGGAATGTGATTCATGTATCAGCAAGAATAAGATATATGTCCAGCTTGGGTCCCATGTCTTAGAAGTAGTAAAGCCTCGGAGTAATGTGGGGGCTTTGGTTCTAATTGTGACATCAGTGGGATTAATCGGTATCCAAGCAGGTGCTTATGTAGGCCTTCGCATTGTTTCTGTCCTATCTCTGATGACCAAGCCCTCTGTGGGTGGGAGGTGTATGACACAGTGGGAGTGGAAAGGAAAAGAGATGCAAACAAACAAAAGACCTGTGTTAGTTAAGAAGTCATAGAAATGGCCTCATTAAAATGAAGTTCATGTATGCATCTCTGGCCTTTGCCAGCAGCTTATGTGGATTAGGCTGATCCCTAATTTATAGCTACTCTGTGAGCTAAAATCTTTCTCTGAGGGAGGTCTGTGCCTATATCCAGCAGCCTTACTGTGCATTCAGAATAGCCCTTTGTTGGTTTTGGTCTGTGGTGGTCTTTCCCTTTTTCCCAATTCCAGATTGATTCCAAAGAAAGACATGCAAAGGGGGAGGTCTTTTAATGCCCATCAAGCATAATTCTTGGGTTCCTACCTGGTTAATTAAAAGCAAACATACAGCATTGCACTGATGCACTTATACAAGTACCTCAGCTCTTATTTGCACCATTTGCTTTATACTAAATTTTTTATGCTGACTGACAGGGTATTTCTGATGTGTACATATGTAATCATTATGTTTCCTGCTTTTTTCTTTTACACAGTACTGGGGATTGATCCCAGCACCTCATGCATATTGCACCACTAACTCCTGACTGTTTCCTACAGTGTTATCAGTAAAAACGCTAGTTTTTAATTTTTTTTTAGTCACCCCCACAGGCTAATTTTTCCTTTTCTTTCTCCTTCTTTGGACTGTCTTCACAAAGTGAAGTCCAGACCACATACGGTGTAATTCTGACCCTCTTCTGCCTGCAGCTCGGTGTGCTGGATGGCGTACTGAAGGTGGTGACTTCTCCAGCTGATCAGGCTTCAGAGCCACAGCCCCAAGAAGGCAAGGACAGCCTGGGCTCAGCAAACCTGCTGGAGCAGCTAGACATCGAGGAACCAGAACAGTCCATGCTTCCCCAATACCTGGAACGATTTAAGGTGATTCACAGCAGAATTGGGCCACTCTCAGTTGTCATAAAATATCTTCCTCTGTTTCATGCATCAGTCACACACAAAGGCATTAAAAACTGACATCAAGCCGGGTGTGGTGGTGCACGCCTTTAATCCCAGCACTTGGGAGTCAGAGGCAGGCGGATCTCTCTGAGTTCAAGGGCAGCCTGGTCTACATAGTGAGTTCCAGGACAGCTGGGGCTACAGGGAGACCCTGTCTCAAAAAGACAAAAAAGCAAACAAACAAACAAACAAAAACTGACATCAAAAATTACATTTCTGTTGCTTCACAGAGGAAGTAATCTTAAACCAATGGAATTTTTATGCTTCTTTTTGTACTTGAGCAAATCAGTCACAGTTCTATTCACTAAGGCAGCATGTCAATTCCTGAGTCAGTCCTGATATGTGCCTGATGGGTGGATAATAACTTGTCTCCTCATAACAATAACTGATTTCCCCTCTGGATGGAAAGTACCTGGTCATTTCTTTAGTTTGCATCAAATGTGCATGATCAGAAACCCAGTTAGACATTAGAGTCACATCTCGGTGTGGAAAGAAAAGATGTAGGCATCTTGTGGCTTGTCTTTGGCAGCTTTGTGCTGTTCACTAAAGCCATTGGACAACTCCCTGACACTGCATGGCATATGTAAAAGATTTCTAGAATGGCCCTGAGCACTCAAGCTGTCTTTGGTGGCTTTCAACTCTGTATATTCCAGAACGCTCTGCCATCAGTGCCAAGGAAGAGGAACCATGTTCAGTGTTTATGCCCTGGGCCCCCTCCCTGTTTTGTTTCTTGTCCATTAATGCAAAGAGAAAAAATACTTTCTAAATATGAAGTCGCTGTGGGAGCAGAAAAGTTTCCTATCCATGCCAGCTGTCCCAGTATGCCTTTTTGCAACAGATAGGGAGAAACATTGCTGGACTGTTACACTTAAATCTGTGTGTTAATTATTTTGAACCAGCAATGGAAAACCTGGTTACCCACTGTATTTTTTTTTTTTTATTTTTATTTTTTTGTCTTTTTGAGACAGGGTCTCCCTGTAGTCCCAGCTGGCCTGGAACTCGCTATGTAGACCAGGCTGGTCCTGAATTCACAGAGATCTGCCTGCCTCTGCCCCCCAAGTGGTAGGAGTAAAGTTGTGTACCACCACACCCGGCTTCCCCATTGTACTTTAAGCAGCTGCTTCTACTGGAAGGAAGGTCATTGCTTAGCTTCTCTATCATTTGAAACTGAGATTTAAAAAAAAAAAATTTTTTATCCTACACAGAGAATAGGCCGTACAGCAAAGTGGAGAATTTACCCGCCAGTCCTTCCCTCTTAATTTTGCCTGTGTCAGTGTCTGATGGAAAGGGAAAAAATCTTAGCCCTCTAAGTTTTCATTTACCACATCCACACTGAGTTTGCTACACTGCCCCTACCAGTTCACACCTTCTGCCTTTTCTTATATATGGCATCATGGAGGATGGAAACCTGTGCCTATGTTAACTCCTCAGGCCTCACACTTGCACAAATGTGTTCTATTAAAAAAAAAAAAAATCAAAGAACAGAGACAAATGTTTATGGACTGCTACCCTTGTTAGGCTCCCCCTGTACTCCTTTATCCTCACAGGAGGTCTGGGTGGGAGAGTCACCTCAGGTTGCATGCCACAAGGGTGAGAGAAATGAGCCCATGGGTGACTACATCTGGATTTGGACAGATGTTTCCTACCTCACAGTTGAGACTTTATTCTGGTGTCCTCAGCTATCTCCTTGGCTCAGACTACCTGGAAAGCAACCTCAGGAAGAAATCATCTTCGATTTATATTTCTTTTTCTTCTCGTTGCCTGATTTTTATAAGCCTGAGATAATCTGTTTGGGACTAATTTTTATATGACTAGGCCTCTAGCTGCTCTTTGGAGCTCGTGGACTTTACCTGCCTTCCATCTCTTCCTGGCCAGATCTTATCACTGTGTTCCTAAGTCGCTTTGGTTTGAAAACATGGACATGTGTGGATAAGCTACAGCTGGGGCCATAAATGGCACTCTCTGATGATCCACATCTTGAAACACTTAAGTAGATTAATATTTTTAATACTTCAGGAATATAGCACTGACCCAAGCAAGCTGCCATCTCAGATGGAGCTGAAGGAGGCAGGATGTAAGGGCTGACTGCAGGGGAGCACAGCAGGTGGACGCCTGCAGTGCTGCAAGCACTCATGGGAGCTGTTTAACATGCATTAGTGAGCAATCCTTGAAATGATTTCCATCTGTGGGAAGAAATGCTAGTAAGGCAGATGCTGACTGCAGTCACTTAAAGGCAAAGACACCATGGACTGGCGCCAGCCTATCGGATGGCCCCACCATCTTCTTCACATCCTGGAATTCTGGTGCTTGGAGTTAGCTGCTTGGTTCAGAGCAGGCCAGAGCAGAACTGCATATTGGAACTGTGTATTACACCTGTGCCGTCTTTGTGGTTTAAAATGAGAAATGGAAATGACGCAGGGAAGCACAGCATATGGAGTTGGCTTTGTGAGTCAAGGGGGAGAGATCACACATGGTGGTGCATCTTAGCAAAACTGCTGAGCTGGAAGAATAGCACAAGACAGCAGTGCCGGCAATGGCAGCTTCCCCACAAGGTGCCTTTCCTGCGGGCGGACCGTGTGGCCATTTTGCAAAGGACTTAATCGCTTCTCGCTTCCTCTTTTTCTCCCACCTGCTCCCCACCTTTTTTCCCCACTTTGTTTCTGACAGGCCTCTCAGTCTAAGCTGCAGGAGCTGGGCAGAATTGAGTCAGAAAGCCTTTTGACTCTGACCACCCAGCTTGTGAAAGAAAAGCTCCCCACCTGTGAAACTGAGGACCTTGCCACCTATGAGCAGAAACTGCAGCAGTGGCACCTGGAGCAGATGCAGTTGCTACAGAGAGAGAAGGAGCAGAAGGAGAGAGCGAAGCAGGAACACCAGGCCCGGATGGCAGCAAAGGCAGCAAAGGCAGTGGCCTAACAGGCTCCAGGCCAGCCATATACAATAGCCATCCCAGTATGCAGGCTAACCCAGCATTCAGCAAAGACAGGATGGGGCTCAGCCTCTGCTATGAAGCTTCTTGTCTTACAGCAAGCCATGCATGGTCTGAAAGCCACAGTGTGCTACATATCAAGACACTGCCCATCCAGATGCCAAGAAAGGCTGTAGAGCTAGTGGTGAGTGGTTGGACTGAAGCCACTAGCTAAATCCCTTAAAGGGACTCCTGAGGCTTACAGTGGAGTCCTGGGCACAGAGTGAAACGTTCCCAATATCTGGTGAGGGTGGTGGGAGAAGCTCTGGCTGAAACTTCATGCCCCAGAATCCCCTCACTAGTGCATGCATCCCGGTGATCTGACCCTGGATGCTCACACTTTCCTCCTGCATCCTTCCCACCACATTCTGCCCTTTTCTCTGCCCTGGGAGAAGCCCAGGACAGGAATGATCTCAAGACACAATCCCACTAGATTTCTGATTTCAGGCAGCCACAGTGACAATAGTAGAATGTAAGGGCTTTGAGAACTTTGCCCTGGCTGTGAAGCCCTTGTGGCTTGCATTCTTCAGCATATCAGGGTAACTTTCCAACACATTGTCCCAGCTCCCTTACCGAGTATGCAAAATGAGCCTTTGGTGTATGTGCACACATACACACACACACACACAAAACTTTAGAGCAAATATTTCTGTTAAAGGAGCCTGAAGGGCATAGGTGGGATGGAGCCTGAAGGGCATAGATGGTTGCAATCATTGTAAAACTGTAGAAGATGGACAGTTGATGCTTCTGTGAAAGGGTCAGGGGACTTTTACCTGCTGTGTAATGTTGCCTTTAAGTACAGTGATGTATCTTTATTCAAGATTGTATTCGTTTATCAAGAACCTGTGGAAATAAAGACACCAAAATAATCCCAGAACATTTATCTTTGGGGGGGGTAGGGTCATTGTTATTTTAATTATATTTTTGCCATTATTTTAATTATATTTTTATAATATAATTAATATATAATTAAATTTTAGAATATAATTAGTATGTAATTATATTTTATTGCCATTTAATTATATTTTGCTATTGTTATTTTAATTATATTTTTGAACAGCATCTTTTCAGCCCTCGTCCATCAGACAGTGGCAGTTTTAATAATAACAATCATCATTCACATGTATTAAAGATTTGCTGTATGCCAGCACCTTGAGCAACCCTATGAGGCAGCACCATTATCCCCAAGTTATGAAGGAGATAAAGCTAAGTCTGTCTCCTGGACTCTGCTATTGCTGCCCAGCCCCTAGTGTGTCCTCTATACATAACCACAGCCAGGATCTAGCAGAGCCCTGCAGGCTAGCAGCACTGACTTGTAGGTAGAAGGCTGTGAACAAAAGTTAGGGCTGATATTCTGGTGTATCAAAGGCCTGATTTTCTCAGCCATTCCTTTTTAGAGTCAGGAAAAACCCAAAGGCAGCTTTCCTCCACCAAGGAATGACTACCACTGTGTTACACATCTTGTTAATTCCTTGGCTCCTAATTTTGTTTTCATTGTTCCTACCCCACTCTCCCTATGCAATCCTTGCCCAAAGAGGCCCTTTTGCCCTTGAGCCACTGCCCTGACAGGATCTTGTGTGTTCCCATTCCTCAGATTCCTCTGCTTGTGTCCTCGTCTCTCTTGGGAACTCTTGGCTTTCTTGTCTATTAACTGCTCCTTGCGTCTCTTACTTGACAGTTGGGACTTCTGATGACAGTTGTCCTCTGCCCCTTCCACTGACCTCCTTCTGTACAGAAGGACAAACTTCTTGGTAACCTAACCCGTAGAGAAATTACTTTCCTAGCTGACCTATGAGAGTCCCAGGCAGACTTTTGGCCACATAGTAGTGAGCCAGGATCTTAGCTGTGAAGTCCAATTCTCCGCTGCTACCCATGTCCTACTCCCTGCTGAACCAGCTTGTTCCTATTACTCCCACCTGCAAACACTTCTCATTACCCTGTCCCTCAAACCCTAGGTCTCCAGAATCTGGACCCTTTTTGCCTCCCTCCCAGCCTGAACTCCATGGTCAGCCCAGGAGAACCCCTGATGTTCTCACTCTTGTCTTTCTTCTCTTTACTCGGGCCCACTTGGCATCTCTGGACCTACATCTTTGGACCCATCTGCTACAGACTTAATTGTGTCCCCTAAAAATATGTTAAAACAACTCTAACCCCCAGTACCTTAGAATCTGGCCTTTGAAAGAAATAAGGTCTTCTGTGGAAGGAATCAAATGAAAAGGAGATCAATAATCCACTAAGACTTGTGTTCTTCAGAAGAGGGCTGTGGAGACATAAGCACAGAAAGAAGGCAGCGTGAAGATGGGCGGGGTGACCATGGGAGTAGAGCATAGTAAACTGGGGGAGACCTACAGACTCCCAAAGCTGGGAGAGGCAGCTTTGCCCCTGACTAGACCAGGTTTTGAGCCTCCAGAACATTGTTAACTTTTAAGCCACTCAGGTTTAGATACAGCAATCTGGAGGTAATTGATAAATCACTCTGTTTTCTCTGTTTGCTTCTAACCGAGTGTTAGTGTATGAAGTAATGATATGAGGCTAAATTCCTCTACGCAGTTATGGCAGCCCTCTTAACTCAGTGGTCACTCTGTATCTACAGACCCTCATTTTGACTTCAGGAACCTCACTGCACTGCATGAGCCCAAGGCCCTTACTCTGAGAACTATGAACAGGTGTCCCTGCCTCTCACTCTTATCAGGAAAATTGGAGCCATGTGACACAGCCTCAGTCTCCTTCCTTCTCCCCTTCCAGTACACTACCCCTACCGTTCTTCTCCTCCATCTCTCCTCTTTCAAGTGATAGCTATTCCTTTCCTCCTTGCCGAGGTTAGACTCATTTATGGCCTCAGTGCCGTGCTTGCTGACTCTCTCAAAATCATCAAGAATTCCCTTTTCCATGTAGCATCATCCCTACCGACACCAAGCACCCCTTCCCTTCATCCTATCATTAATCAAGCAGTTATTCCACCCCTCCTCTGTCACCGAACTCCTGAGTGTGTATGCTGACAACTGGTGGTTCATTCATAAGACCCTGAAAATTTGGCCTTCAGCCTTATCAGTCTGCTGTACAACAGGTCATCAGCTACAACAAACTCCCTCATATACTCTGCTCCATTTGGCCCCACCTTTTGAACTTGGGGTCTGATGCGCTCACGATTATTTGTTCAGTGTGTTCTCTGTGGAAGGCACCATTCTAAGTGCTGTCAAGCTGACAACAATTAGTAATACAGACCCTTCTTTCAAATGACTTAGGTTAGAGGGGCAGAGGGGACTGGTCTATCTGCATCTGTCAACGCACAGCTGAAGAGTGTCAGACACAGGTAAAGTGATGGATGGAGAGTTGGAGGAAGAGCCCTGTAGACTGGGAGATAGGAAAAGCTCTAATGAAGGGAAATATCTGCTTTGTGCTTTACTTAGCCTCCCAGGTGCCATGGTAGATGGCCCTCATCAACAGGCTTATGCAGGGTAAATGTGCTCACAAAAAAGCATTTTAAGCTGAAGTAAAATGAACAGGTTGGACTAAACCTGTTGAAGCCCATACCCTACTTACCTTACCGAGAAAGGTAAGAATTAAAAAACAGTGAGGTACAAATGTCTTATGCTCTCTCCTCAGAGCTCTGTTGGCACCAAGCATTGCATTGTGTTTTCTTGCCTTTTACTTGGTCATGGTCAATGATATCGGATACAGGGTCTGGGAAAATCTCAATCTCTCTCTCTCCCCCCCCTCTCCCCCTTGACAACTGAATCTGAAACTCATAGTACTTCTCAACAGGGAGTGGGGGAGTGGTTTTGCTTCCAAAGAACACTTAATGATGTTTGTAGGTATTTGAATGGAGGGACTGCTAAACATCCTAGAATGCATAGGTTGTATGTGCAGGGTACCACACAATTTTTTATAGTGAGATGGTATTTGTGGCAAGTAGCTCATTTACAAGTGGCATTTCTAGGCTGGGAGAGTAATAATCCAGTGTTTCTTGTCTAACTCTGAACATGCCTATGAAATACGCAAAGACTGATCATTATTCTTCCTAAACAAAGTTCATCAGGGAAAAGGGCAAATGATGACTTCGTATGACTTTGGTGTTTGGGTAAAACATGGCTAAGAATTGAGTCTTGTGTTCCCAAATGAAGATGCTGACCCAGGAGGTTGGGGTATGGTGATTCTTTTGGCCCCCAACAACCTCACTCACTGTGTGTGGATGAGAAAGGAGTAATCTCTAAAATGTGCTCAAAGGGTTTGGACTTCAGTGAATCCTAACAGCAGACTTGATTGTATTGTCATGAACTTTTCAAACACCAAAAGTGATATTTTAAAATCCTACTCTACAAACTAGGGCATGAAGAAGGCTTTGCAACATTATACTAGGAAGATGACCTTGTAGTCTAATAACCTCCACCTGAACATAACGTTTTCTTTCCTCTGATTTAGTCTTTCCGTAGATATTGTTTACTACCCCAAGAATGCTTCTACCTGTACAATAAAGAGGAAGACCAAAAGAAAAAAAAACAAAAACAAAAAACGGCAATATCCCCAAGACTGTGGCAAGAAAACTGGAATCTTTGTTTAAAACAAAATCATTGCTTAAGCCATATTGAATGTACATGTCTGATTCCAGATCTGAGTTTGGCACGTTCAGGAAGCTTGGAGTTTATTCTTGCCAAATGCATCTGAAAATGAAATCCATTATTAATCCAGTCTCTGGATCAAGGACTGTGGGAAAAATCTATTAATGATTTATGAAAAGACACTATACTATTTGAGGTTTTGGGGGGATTTTTTTCTCCTATGATGCTTCATTTCCACAGAGTTCAAAACATTAATCCTGGGGCTGGAGAGATGGCTCAGCGGTTAAAAGCACTGACTGCTCTTGCAGAGGAGCCGGGTTCGATTCCCAGCACCCACATGGTGGCTATGAACTGTCCTCCAGTTCCAGGGGAATCCGAAGCCCTCTTCTGACCTCTGTGGCATTGCACAACACGGGTGCACTCACATACATGCAGGCAATACACTCATAAAATAAGAATAATAAATATTTTTTAAAAAGCAAAACAGAAAAACATTGATCCTTAATCACCTTCAGAAGTAAATAAGCCTACCACTTGACGCTTCCTCCAGGGACTGCATGCTGGGGCACTGCTGGTGTGACTGTTTCCCAGGCTGTCACCAACCATCAGATGCCCACTTGACTGCAAAAATCACATTAGGAAGTCCTGTTGACTGGTGGTCATCCTGTCATGGACTGCACCCTCATCCTTGCTGCAGCCCCACAGGAAAAGTATTATGAGCTGCACTTTGCAGAGGAAAAAACAGACTTCTGGAACTTTTCTGGGCCACTGCAGTTTGTGACAAGGACAGTTTTTGGATCAAAGTTTGATTTCAAACCCACTTTCCAACATGGTATGATCATTGTGCCAACGTAAGACTAAGTATATTCATTCTTTTCACAAATATTTACTAACTATCTACTGAATATTAGAAAGTGAGGATATAGTTAGTGAGGGAAAAAGACAGACAAAGATCCATCCTTCCTGACATTTGCATTCTCTTGAAGGAGGAGTGTGTGTGTGTGTGTGTGTGTGTGTATGTGTGTGTGTGTGTGTGTACATGTTCTCATGTAGCCCATGCTGGCCTCCAACTCTGCTGAGGGTGACCTCAAACTGAACTTCTGATCTTTCTACATCCACCTCCCAAGTGCTGAGATTACAGGCCTGTACCGTACACCCAGTTTATGCTGTGCTAGGCTTCATGCATGCTAGGTAAGCACTCTACCAACAAATACATCTCCAGCCCTGAGATGCATAATTAACAAGTCCTCCTATAACAGTCCCTGTAGTGATAAGTTATATAGAGACAAAGCAAGGAAGAGGACATGAGTGCCGCAGTGCAGCATTCAGTGTGGCTGAGATAGAATGAGGCAGGAGAGAGAAGTGGGCATAGAGGCAAGGATAGGAGGTGCTGGGTAGTGTAAGGCCTCCTAGCCTGGGAGCAAGGACTGTGATATAAGGTTCCTGGCCTGGGAGTGAGGACCTGTTGATGGCTTTCAATGCAGATGGCATGACCTGACAGCATTTTTGGAGGATTGCTCTGGCTGCTATATGGGGGAATAAGCTAGATGGGCAAACAGCAGGAGAGAAATAGCCAACTTTGACAAGGGCAGTAACAGTAAATGAGGAGGGAAGGGTTTACACTGAGTATACAGTTAACAGGGACATTGTCTGCAAAGGATATGCCTAGCAATTTTGTCATGTGACCATCAGATTAATACAAGGATGCAGTGGATATTGCCTGCCATATACCATTACATATGTACATTCATTGTTGATTGAAATGTTATTACATGATGTTTGAAGGTCAAGCCTGCAGGATATACTGACAGGTTGATTTTTGACCTGAGCAATTGGAATTATATATTTGCTATTTTCTGAGGTAGAAAAGCCTAGAGACAGAAGCAGTTCAGAGGGCTCTATGGTTGGCTTCAGGGCATATTTTATTGAAAACTCTGTTAGACATCCAGACCAAGGTAGGGTTTTTTTTGTTTTATTTTTTTGTTTGTTTGTTTGTTTGGTCTTTTTGAAACAGGGTCTACCTGTAGCCCCAGCTGGCCTGGAACTCACTGTGTAGAGCAGGCTGGCCTTGAACTCATAGAGATCCACCTGCCTCTGCCTCCTAAGTGCTGGGACTACAGGTGTGCACCATCATGCCTGGCCAAGGTAGGGTTTTTTTCAAATATATTTATTTTTATTTTATATGTGTGAGTGTTTTGCCTCCGTGTAAGTGCATCTGTGTTGTGTAATCCCTGCAAAGGCCAGAAAAGAAAGGGCATCAGATCCCCTGGTACTGGAGTTAAGGTGGTTGTTAGCCACCATGTGTGTCCTGGAAACCAAACCTGGGTCCTCTGCAAGAGTACCCGTTACTCTTAACTACTGAACCATCCAGCCCCTTAGATGAAAATTTTTCCTTCTTTTTCTTTTTCTTTCTTTCTTTCTTTCTTTCTTTCTTTCTTTCTTTCTTTCTTTTTTTCTTTTTGGGCGGGGTCTTTTTGAGACAGCTGGAATTCGCTATGTAGACTAGACCCAGGCTGGCCTTGATCTCAAAGAGATCTGTTTGCCTCTGCTTCCAGTGTCCCACTATGCCTGGCCCCAGATGAAGATCTTAATAGGCAGCTGGACCAATGAACTTGGAGATCAGAGAAGTACAGGCTGTAGACAGGACCATGAAAGTCACCAGCATATACATGGCATTAAACACACAGAGACTGCCTTAGTCTCTGTGTGTTTCCACTTATGTGTTTCCACTTTGGGAGGGGACGTTCTGGCCCACAAACAGAGCTTTGTCCATCAGGGCATGGAAAGAGCACCCTGTGCATTAGGCACTCATCTGCCATCAGGAAAAATTGCCAGCAGCTCCCAGAGTGAATCTGTAGATCTGCTCATGCAGAAGGTGCTTCATGTGACCAAAACTGCAGATGGACAGTGTTTCCAAGACAGAACATCAGATCAAAGAGGAAACGGTGGTCCCGAATTATGCAAGAATTCATGAACCAAAAATATGTTTAAAAGACCACTGTGGGGCTAGAGAGAAGGCTCCATGATTAAGAGCACTGGCCATTCTTGCAGAGGACCCTGGTTTAGTTCTCACCACCAACATGGTGGGTAACAACTGTCTATGATTACAGTTTCAAGGGATCTTCTGATCTTCGTGGACATTGCACAACATGGGTACACTTACATACATGCAGGCAATGCACCCATACACATAAAACAAAAATAACCTTTAAAAATAAGACTGGGCTGGAGAGATGGCTCCAGAGATGGTTAAGAGCACTGGCTGCTTCTGCAGAAGACCCAGGTTCAAATCTCAGCACCCACATGGCGACTAATAGCCATTCATAATGCTAGTCCCAGGGGATCCGATGTCCTCTTCTGGCCTCCACAGGCACCGCATGACATAGCTGCATTTACATACATGCAGGCATAACACTCATACATATAAGATAAAAATAAATATGGTGCATGTCTTTAATCCTAGTACTTGGGAGGCAGAGGCAGGCAGATCTTTGTGAGTTCAAGGCCAGCCTGGTCTACATAGTGAGTTCCAGGCCAGCTAGGGCTACAGAGAGACTCTGTCTCAAAAAGACAAAAATAAATAAATAAATAAATAAATAAATAAATAAATAAATAAATAATGTTTAAAAAAGACCATTGTACGAACATAGAAAGGCACCCAGGATGAGCAATGCAATTGAAAACAGGGAGACGATATGGTCATAGGACTTCTCACCTTGATGATCTGCTTAGAAACAAAACAATAAAAAAATAATTAAAAGCTGCTTCAAATATATTGGAAAGGACCAGCTGGAAGAGTTGCTAACTCTTCCCCCACCCAGCTGTGAACACCAAGGCAGGGATCCCCTAGGACTGAGGAGTTTTTGGATATAGAACCTTTAGGGCCAGGGGAGATGGCTCAGCAGGTAAAGGTGCTTGCAGCACAAGCCTAGTGACTTGAGTTCAATCCCCAGAACCCATGTAAAGATGGAATGAGAGAACTGACTCTACAAAGCTGTCTTCTGGCCTCCATGCATGTTCACATATGCACACACAGTCTTTAAATGTAATGACATTCCCATGGTGGAGATTTCATTTCCAGCTCTTGTAGGCTTACCTCTTTTGTTTCTGGTGGGGTTTCTGAATCCCACTTAAGCAGTTATTTCTGATGTTCAGAGCCCTCCATGCAGCCCTCCATGTTCAGAGCCCTGCCATGCAGTGAAGGCACATGCAAGTTATACGTCACAAAGGGACATTGTAGTGACTCAGGACAGGCTACAGTGGCCTTTTAAAGCCAAAAGCCAGACAGGGTCAAGTACTAGCGGTCTCTATTGAACACTGTGTGGGCATATTTTTCTGTGGCCACATGGAGGTGGAGGCTGAGGTCAGGGTCTCCCCACCACACGCTGCCATTCTGGTCAGTCTGCTCCCCAACATATGCTGATCCTATTCTCTACTGAGCCTGCGTGAGCTGGTGCAGCTGTTCTGGAATTGGCTTTCTCGTGTATGTACACCTCTTACCCCCTCCCCACACACCTTCTGGGGCTCAGCAGAGACAGTACTTCTGGTGCTTTGCCTCTAGTGACCTTCTAAACTCCCTCTTGACCTTTAGGCACCCTTGTCACAGCACGGTGTCATTACTATGCTGGTCTATCTTCTCCAATCATGTAGGGCAGGTGTTTTGTTCCTTTAGGTTCTTCAATCCAGATACAACCCACTGCTGGGTCCAGTGTAAAGGTGTAGGGTCCTACTCTTTTGGGTATTGTCATATATTATCACTTTTCCCTAATAATTTTCTTGGGTGTTGTACTGGATAACTTTAGTTGTCAACTTGACACACTTGGGTAGAGGAAGCCTCAGTTGGGCAGAGGAAGCCTTGGTGCCTCCATTGGACAGACCTGTGACCATATCTATGGGGTATTTTCTTGATTGTTGAATGATGTGGGAGGGCCCAGCCCACTGTAGGTGGTGCCACCCCTGGGCAGGTTGTTCTGTATTGTATAAGAAAGCAGGCTGAGCAGGGGCCAGGGGAGCAAGCCAGTAAGCAGTGTTCCTCCATGGCCTGTGCTTCAGCTCCTGCCTCCAGGTTCCTGCCCTGAGTTCCTACCTTGGGCTCCCTCATGAATTGTGACCCAGGAGATGTAAGCCAAATAAACCCTTTCCTCCCCAAGTTGGTATTGGTCAGTGTTTTGTCACAGCAATGGAGAAACAATCTAGAACAGGTGTAGGTCAGATCTGTAGCATGTTCTGTTAGCTGGATAGAGCTTATTTGGTGATAACGAGCTAGGATCACAGAGGGAGAGCATGAATTAAGCATAATCCCCTGAGCATTAGGGCTTTATAGAGTATGAGAATTCAAGTCTTGGGAGACACCAGAAAATTTCACTTTCTTTGTCAAATGCTCTCATTTTACAAGGGAGAAAATGAACTCCAGGTAGGTCAAAATGAACTCCCCCACTTGGGTGTGGGAGAGCTAGGCTTAAAATCTGATGGTTTTTTGTTTTTTGTAATTTGAACAGAAAACATTCCTAATATTTTCCATCAATTTCACTGTTCTTTTTTTTTTTCTTTTTAGGCAATAATTGTAGTTGTTCTTTCCTTTTGTTTGTTTTATTTGTAATTTGTACAAGAAACCCTCCTAATATTCTCTATCAATTTCACTGTTCTTTTCTTTTTAGACAAAAATTCTAGTTCTTTCCTCTTGCCTCCCAGTCTCTGTCCTTATATTCCAACATCCTCTAGGGCTTGACTATAAAAAAAAAACAACAAAAAGAAATTACAAAAATTAATGTGGCACTCTCTCAGCTAATCCCCAATACCCAGGGCACCCTCCTTGAATACAACAGTCCCCCTTGTCATGAGTGGCACAGCACAGGTGAAAGCAAAGCCAAAGATACCTCAGCACACACGTGAACTTTTGCCACTTTTGTATTTTATTGTGGAACTGAGTTTTGTTTTTTTTTTTCCTTTACATCAAATATCCTCAGTGGAAGAGGGGATATTGCACACAAATATCATAAAAGCACTACATATTACTTTCACTGGAAACTAATTTTCTACATTAGATATGACTGGATAGGATAGAAGTGATGCAGGATTATAAGACATAATACCATACACAGCTGCAGACTGACACAAACACCATTCAGAACAAGAGAGAGGAGTGGGAAGCGCTTCTCGGCTGGCCGCTGGGCTCAGAACAGCACGGGCTGTGTGCGGTGCAGGAAAGCGAGACTGAACCGCAGCTGTAGAAAGGGCAGCCTAGTCTGAACTGCTTCTCCATCGCTCCACACAGAGTGCAGAGAAGCTGGTCATTAATTTTTTCCCTTCCTTTTCAGTTTTTGATGCTGCCTTGTAAATGAATTTATGAAGTCACAGTTTTGTGAAAGAGTGAATAGTTTGAATACCAGGTGAATAACCTAATTGCTGTCAAGGAAATGCTGCTTTTGGTGTGTGATTCAGTTGGTTAAATGATGAAAGCTTACAGCTCTTTTCATACGGAAACAGAATCTGTTCTCCTAAATCTGAAGTACAAAAAAAGAAAAAGAAAAGTCATTATCCTAACTCACAAATCCCGTAGCTGAGCAGGCCTCTCCTGTGACAGGTAACTAAGGAGAAGCAAGAAAAGCAATTCCAGAATTGTAGAGCAGCTCCCAGGAGCTGAGATTTGGTAACAGAGGGAAAATGGAAGGTGGTAAAAATTTCCATTAGCAAATGATTAAATCTTATGAAATGAGTATTGGACAGCTCCTACACTCCGTAACCTATTGGAAACACCTAAAACATTCATATACACTGGGGAAACCATTCACTAATATATGTAACGTTAAGAAAAATTTTCTTTTGAATTCCATGGAAAATGGTGTTTGGGGCAAGGGGTTAGTCATTGTATCCAGTCCCACCACAAGACTGAGAAAGCATGCATGGGAATTGGGGTTTGGATAAAAGAGGATAGAATTGGACAAAATTGAAATGGAGGATCATCTTTAATATTTAGTGTCTGTAGAATTTTGTTTATGAATACTACCCAAAAGGTCATGACTAGGGGTGTTATCTCAATAGAATTCCATCATTTAAACAGGGTGGAAATTCCTTCCACTCAAATATTCAATCTATACAATTGGATTAAGAAATCAGTATAAATGAAGCTCCTAGAAGTCTATGTCGGTTTTTAGTTCTCACCACCAATGTACATAGTACGTTGTGATGGCTATTATAAACTAATTGTGTATTTATGGAACTAGCAGAATTAGGTTAGTCGCGCAGGTAGGAAAGGTGTCTGGGAGGTCAGGAGCTATCTGTAAAGCAAATGTTGTTCTTCCTGGTACCCTTGGCTCCATGGCCATCACTGAGAACAGGGGGTACAGTAGGTACTGACAGATTCCATAGGAAATAGAGCCAGTGCACCAGTGCCAGTTTTAAAAAGTATTTTCCCCATTAAATTCTGTAGAAATTAAAAAAAAAAAAGAGTGGGGTAGAGTGGTTATAACCGAAGTGACTATGACTCTCCTAACATATTTTTAAAGCAAAATAACATAAAGGCTAAATAAATTTAGTCGGAGAAACTAGAAAATAACTCTATCTTCTATCAAAGAAAAATCAACCAGAGGTCTAGGTTTGGCAAAACGGCTAGAAATTGTTTCTCTTCTCATGCATTATGTGGACCAACTCAATAGGTAACCATTAAATAACTATCTTGAGTATTCAGCTTGTCTCATAAAAGTGTGAAGTAGATGAGTTTATATTCAATGAAATTCATTTTCATCACAATGATTTTTCCATTATGTATGACATGTTTGTACCTTTAACGTTATTTCTAAGGACTTGAAAGAAATAGGGTAATAAATAAAAATTGCATTTCTAGAGAAGCCTAACAAAAATAGAATATTAATTTTCTTTAAAAAATTAAACATTTGGAAAATGTGATTCACAGCATTAAGTGTACTGCATAGGTCCCCAGTGCTGGGACCCTGAAGAAGCATTGTTTAAACCCTCATAGTAGTTAGCAGTGCAAAACATACACTTCACAAACAAAAATAAACTAAAATGTTAACTTTGAAATAAATAACTAACACAGAAAATAAAATGAGGTCATTGTTCACTACTCCGTAGATATTAAGAGTCTGCAGGAAACGTAGCATGACAGAGAACAGCACTGTTGTCACTGAGCAGTATGTGGATCTGCCACTGGAAATGACATCAGTGTGACTCATGATCTGGCTTCCCAGGTTCATGGTTCAGTGGTGACAACGATGGACGTTATGTCTGAACTCTACATGGTGAACATAGGAGTTGGGAATTCTTTTGTTTTCAATCTATTATTTCTTTCATTTATTGTTTTCCAGAAAAGAAAATCCCAAAGCAAATTGGTGCTAGGGTGCTTTTGAACTTGGATTTTTCACCTTCTGGTTGAAGATCTTGAAAGAAGTAGGTAAGATACCACTGGGTGGCGTACTTAAGGCCCTGAAAAGTAGCCTACCCTGCCATTCACCCCACTCTCAAACAGTACAGACTCAGATATTTATGCTATGAGCATCAAAGGGTGGGAGAGATCATCATTCCTCATTGTTACAGGCTTTTAATAAGTATCATGACTTCAATGTCAGACTTCAGGTCTTGCCAGAACTTCAGAAAACATCAATTTTGTCTTACAAAGCACTTAAAAAAAAGACTATCACTTGAAATTTTTCTTTGTATTTTCCTGTAAATGAAAACATTTGTTAAAAAGTTCATCTATGAAAAGTTCTTACATATCTAAAAACAATCTTCTGTACATGTGCTCCCATAATTACGTTGAAATGAATGGAAACTCTAAAAAGTCAATGTAAGACAAAAGAAAAAAAATACTGTATTCTTGCCGAGACCCTCTTCCACCATAAGATTCACTGTTTTCCCAGTTCTAGTCATAGAAGCCATTTCAGTTTTGAACTTGCAGTAGCAAAGAAGCTAGGAAAGGTGCAACTTGTTTGGCTGAGAGGCCAAGGTGCATTGAAAGTGGTGGTATTCAAGGAGCATGACTCAGCATCAAACTGTTGGACCAATCAGATCAGCTTCTAGAACTCTTCCCACCCCATGCCCACACTCGTGCTCCTTTACCTGGAATATCTACAACCCTACATGGATGTTTTAAAAACTTGCTGTCTCACATTAAAAAATAAGTGCATCAAGTATCTTTGTACATTCAAGTCACTTCCTAAGGCAGGATGTCTCCCGTATGTTCTCTCAACTGCTTTGGTATTTGCTTCAGTTAATTGGGGTAGACTTGGGTGTTGTCGCATGCAAGTTGACTTGGTGTGGACTAAGTGGGTGGACAAATGCTGGGAGCATGCCTTAGATCAACTACTCATATGTTTACAAAGTCTGAGAGTTCTGAATGGGGCTCAAACCACTTGCCTGTCCAGTCTACACTCACTACATTATGCCACTGGTCAGCCTTCATAGTGAAGGAGCTTAGCCATGAAAAACTCATGCCCTCTTAACAAACTTTATTTCTTTTCATTCTGGTGGAAATACTTTAGAAAATTAAGACCCTTTTTGATGACTGATGAAAATGGAAAAGTTTGCCAGTGTAGACTACAGAGTACCTACTGCCTGAGAAAATGTAGACCTAGTTTGCTGGTTGTCTTTTCTCTACCCCACCTGCCCTCTCCCTTCTCTCTGGGCATCTCCTCAGAACTCTCCACCATCACAAATCTCCTTCTCTTGCATTCTTTTTCTTTCTCATTCTTTCTCACTCTCTCTCTCTCCTGCATTCTCTCTGTGTGCTCCCTCCCTTGTTCCCTCCCTTCCCTCTCTCTCTCTCTCCCTCTTCTCTCTCTCTAAGACAAATGCCAATACCTAGCAGAAGTCAGTTGGGTGTGCGAGTGCATGGCTTCCAAATGTTCAGCAGAGATGAACGGGGTAGGTAATTTTGCAGTAACTTGAATCCTATTGTGGGAATACTGTTACTTCCCTTAGCAATCAGCAAAAACTGAGCGATATTAGTGACTTGCGTCATCATGACATAGTATAGCATTTGGCAGGTAATTGTTCAGTGACTTAAATAGATGAATGGATGTTTTAGAAAAGGTAGTTTCAAATTCAAGAATTTCTGGAAACAAAGTTCAAAATCCTATGGTGTGGCCGGCTGTGGTTTTTACAGTTCTATCTTGCATGCAGGGAAGGACTCATCTTGCATAACCACTGTGCTGCTGCTTGCTAAAACCATGATGTTGAGGTCTTGCTGCTTCTCGTGGGTCTCCTGGTACCATTCCCTCATCACCTCTGAGTCATGTGTTGGGATTAGAGTCACCTACGGAGAGAAAAAGAGACGTTTAAGGGCAGACAGGTCGCAGAAGTAAAGACAGAATAAGGTCATGGTTGGATCACTAGAAGAAAGGGAACAAAAGGAAAATTTTCTATTTTCCCTGAGAAATACAAGTAAGTTTTCAACTAATATTTTCCAGGAAACAAAATGAAGCTGTAAAAAAAGATCTTTTTTCTTTCATTGAAGGGAGGACTTGATGACCCACAAAATCAATTATTGGCTTGTCAGTTTATTCATTTAAATTCAGTGTTGGTTTTTGAATGTTAAGGAGTGCTTTGACTAAGTACAGTTTCTCACATTTTCTTTAACATAAGGGAAGTTTTATAGGAAATACATACCATATTTAATCCAAGTAGTTTTAGTTATTATTATAGCTCAAAGCACTCAGAAACCCACCTCTTGGCGTGAGAATGAAGACTGGGATATAGGAATTGGGGTACTTAGGTTATGGATGGAGGAGTGGGTACTTAGGTAAGGTCTTGAATGGTAAAAATTTCATCTAGTATTCTTTAAGAGGCCACTGGGTACTTCTCATATGAATAATATGAAAATATTATTAAACAATACTATTTAGTATGTAACAGTTTGCTAGGTGATTCTATGCAGAAAGGCAAATTAGATAAACAATCACATCTGAACAGAGGTGGGGGTTGGTTCATGGTCAGAATGAGGTTTTAGAGTTGGAAGTATCCTTTGGGAAACAGTGGTCCTACTCTGGTATTCCACCTGGAGAGCTGATTCCCTTCCCCCCACAATGACCATGTTCCTAGCTTTAGTCTACCGGTAAAACACAAAGGAGTAAAGATAATGCTTCAGCGGCAGTTCTGTGGAGATAGGACCACTGTGATTCACACAATAATGCTCAGCATGCTGCTCGGGCGAGGCAATTCATTTCAGGCCAGTTCTGCAGATGAATCAACTCTGCCTTAGATAAGGCTTTCCTCCATTGCTATGGTTGGTGGTGGGGTTAGGAATTCCACATGGGTTATTTGTGTTAAAGTGACATTATCTGTGGGATTGTTTCGTATATATGGAAGACTCAAGAGACACTGCATGTGGATCCGTAATCACAAACAGTCTGTTCCCTCTGTCTCTGGACCCAGATCAAATGCACCCCAGACATGGGCCTAGAGCTCTTACCTGCATGTTGCTGCCCCACTGTGCCTTCCCGTCTAACAAGGCATCCAGGACAGCCCGGCTGGGCTCCTCAGCAGCAGGGTCATTCCCACTCACCACGTAGTAAGATGACCTCACTCTCTTGAAAAATTCAACATCAACATTCTTACTATTGCTGTGGTTAGGAATATAGCACAGGTCCAAATACACAGGGAGGCCTGGAGGCACGGTAGATGTCTTGGCTGTCTTGGTGGTTCCTGGTGCTTTGGTAAACAAAGACAAGCAAGGGTCACAGCAGTGTGAAGAGACCCATCCAGCCACTTAACCCAAGCAAGTTATGAAAATGTTGTACAGGGCATCGAACGCTAGCAATCTGAGAAAATCTGAGATGTTTTTTGTCATCTCAATAGGAGAAATGGAGAGAGGGATGATTTTTCTTTGCAGACAACCAATCAGCAAATAAAAAGTTTTGAGGACTTTTCAAAGGAAGGAACCAGATAGTAATACCTTCCACCCAAAGGAACTTCTAATTTGCACCTTAATTTTCAAAGTGATCTAAGACAGCTTCTTAAACTATATAGGTCATGATGCCACATGGAATTGCACAACTAAGCAAGTTGTCAATAAAAATTTTTCAACAGTAAATGATTTCTTATCATTTGAAGACCAAAAATCAATTCAAAATCAAAAATGAATTTACATTAGTGAATACAAGGTGTTTCTGGTTGTGCTTGCCAGTGTCCCAACACACAACTTCACCGTAGCCTTGGTTCTGAATGCACAGCATGTGACTGTACACTGTACATGCTGTCACATCATGCAACATCAACAGATACTGCCTGAAACACAGTCCTCTCTTAGAAACATAATAGTGTAGTTATGGAAAACAAAGACTTTTCCTATTTTCCTACCATTCTTGTCTGGATGTAAGTATCAAATTTGTATTTCTTTGGATTATATTGTGTTAGAATGTTTAACTAAAACAAAAACAAAAACAAAAAAAACAAACTGCCTGAGGCTGGAGAGATGACTCAGCAGTTAAGAGCACTGGCTGCTCTTGCAGAGGACTGGGGCTCAGTTCCCAGCACCCATATAATAGCTAACAACTGTCTGTAACTCCAGTTCCAGGGCATTCGATGCCTTCTTCTGATCTCCACAGGCATTGCAGGACATGGGCATATGTACATACATACAGGCAATACACTCATACACATAAAATAAAAATAAATAAATCAAAAAAAATTTTTTTTTATTTTTGGTCTTTTTGAGACAGGGTCTTCCTGTAGCCCCAGCTGTTCTGGAACGCACTATGTAGACCAGGCTGGCCTTGAACTCAACTCGCAGAGACCCACTTGCCTCTGCCTCCCGAGTGCTGGGATTAAAGGCGTGTGCCACCACACCCAGCTCAAAAAAAATTTTTTTAAGCTGCTTGAGTTGATGGCTTCATCTTCATAAAAAAAAAAAAATCATTTGATGAATTTTGGGTTGGGGTTGAGAAAGAATTTCCAATAATATCTGAAATGGCTCTAAACATACTTTTGCCATTCTGTATTACATATTTATATGATGTAGTGTTCTCAGCATTGATGGTTATAAAATAAAAATATGGATCAACTGTGAAAAACTGTTGAAGGTGTTCTATATCCTGCAAGATCAAATATTCAGCTAAGATTTAATTCTTTATGTAAAAATTTAAAAGAACACTCATTTCGTTAGCATGCAGATTTCCTTTCATTTTTAATAAGTGCTAAAACTATGTATATATATCTCAAAGGATTGCTTAAAAAGAAATTTCTCAGCCAGATGTAGTGGTGCATGCCTTTAATCTCAGCACTTGAGATGCAGAGGCAGGTGGATCTCTGTGAGACTGAGGCCAGCCTGGTCTACATATCGAGTTCCAGGCCAGCTGGTGCTAGCAGGGAGACCCAGTCTCAGAAATTTTTTTTATGATTTCTTATCCGTAAATGTTTGATTTATATACCTATTTTATATGCATGGATACCCAGAGTTGTATAAAAATTTCTTGGGTAAAAAGGAAAAAGTTTAAGAAGCCCTGATTAAGAAACATTTTAAAGTCTAAAGGAAACATTTGAACTTGGCAAATCATAGTTTGGCGATCATAAGAAGCCTCTTAAACATCTCATTTGATAGCAGTTTGACGCAGAAATGAACAGGATACCCTAACATTTGACCTAGGAGTGGGTCAGACCTCAACCCCATATGATCTCCAGGGTCCTCAGCACCTTAGGTTCATCCAGTAAGTGGATGAAATAGCATATCAGGAATGCGGCCTGGCCACCACTAGCTCTTACAAGCACTCTGAATGATTCTAATGATAGCTGATTTGAGACCACTGTTGCTAATTCTACATGCCTGACTCTCTCCATCAGATATTTAAAAACTGCCACCCTTGAATTCCAACAGTTTCACTTTTGGGGGATTATAGAGGTAGTGAGAAATGGCCAAACTGATACTTACATAAACTGACTCATTTTATAAATAGATTGGCAGAGTATTTTTTTAGTAAATCTGAGTTGAAAACCAGAGGTGGACTCCCTAAGGAATTCTGACTTATAAGCCAGGTGATTACACCTGTAATCACAGAATTTTGGAAGTGGAAGGAGGAAGTTCAGGAGTATCCAGCATTCAGGGCCATCCTCCACTACAAAGTGAGTTAGAGGCCAGTCTGAGCTACATAGGAGTCTGTCTCCAAAAAAAGGTGGGGGGCAGGGGAGAATTCTGGCTCATAATAGAATTTTATGAATTTTTCTTCTACTAATTTAAAATGCCTACAATTTTCCCTTGAACGCTAAAATCTTTATCAACAAGTAAATATTGTTCATAGACATGCAATCTATAAAAACTGTCGAATGTTCATCCAGATTTGTTTTCAAAACCAATTAATGCAATTTGGCCCTTTTTAGAAATCTAAAAGCATCTTTCAAGTAAATTTAAATTAACTCCTCTCTCTTTCTGTGTGTGTGTGTGTGTGTGTGTGTGACAGAAAAAAGAGGGAGGTAGTGCTCAGGAGCACATGCATGCTTGTAGTGCACATGTGGAGGTCATAGAGATCAGAGGACAACTTTCAGAAGTCCGTTCTCTCCTTTCTCCTTTCACATTGGCATCTAAGAATTGAACTCAGGTCATCAGGCTTATGTGACAAGTGCTTTCTTTCACCCATTAAGCCATCTCACCAGCCCTGTCTTTATCTCTTTAAATGTCAAAAGAAAAAAAAAACCAATCAGTTGTTTGGATGGGACATGTTCTGGTAAATTTTAGCTAGCTTTTACCTATTTGGATGAATTTCATGCTTTCTCCCAAGTGTAAGTCAGTTATCAACTCTTTCAAGCCAGGGAGTTAATTATCTGGTGGTTTTACATTCATTCTAAGCATGAACAAATGTTTAGCTTGTTTTCTATGTGTATGTAAAAATTCAGTCTGACAAAAACTGAGCTCTAAAATTGATGGTCCACATAAAGTAAAAATCCTCAGCTATAACTAACAGATCCTAAAATGTACTGAGTTTGCAAGCTCCCAAAAATTCATCTTACATTTTTCCTCATATATCAAAGAAATGCTTAAATTATTAATACTTTTTGCTTTACATGTTTGGATACATTTATATTATTTTGTGATCTAAAATCCCTGTGAAAGTATGTGAAGGAAACAAAATGTATTGCTGCAAATCCTTTTAAAAGATTTGAAGCAACAAGATGAATCTGTGCTGCCAGGGAGATTTTCCATCAAAAACCTACTCACCATACCCAGTATGGTAGTGCACTCCTGGATGCCCAGCATTCAGGAGGCTGAGGCAGGGGGATTACAAATTCAAAAGCCACCCTGGGCCATAAAGCAAGAATTTACTTCAAAAAAACAAAAGCAGAAACTCCACTCATTGTTAGAACTGGATACACGGGAAGTAGTGGCAAATCAGGAGGCACTGGAAGCCTCCTAGAAACAGCTAAGTAGAATTTCAGTCTGAAAAAGTACTCAGTGAGGCTGCAGGATAAGGAAGCAGAAACCAATCTTTAATGTTTTCCTCTCCTTCTGTGCTAGATGCTCACTGGTCAATTGGAACTGTGGTGTTCATCAGCAGATGTGTTCATCAGCCCATTCTTCAATGGGCATATATTGCCTAACTAGTAGCTTTTTAATTAAAGAAATCTTAAAAATTTTTGTAATTTTACATTTTAAATTATTCAAAAGTAGTAAATATTGGGCCCAGATTGGACCATCCAGGTTTGCCCTGGAACCTCTGATTTTGTTACAGACCTTTGAGAGCTCCTGGCCTGTCACCTCAGCATGATTCTAGGGCCAGCATGCCTTGAGTCTTCCAGAACAGCATGAGACATACATTCTTGGTTCAGGGCTGCAGCTACTGTTCAGCATGGTGCCAACCCAGCAATCCCATCTGATGGATCCTAGCTGTGCTGGACCATAGACTGTGCTGTCCCTAAGCCTTGGGAGCCATACTGGACTAAGACATGTACCTTTAGGCAGAAGAGGACAGCAGTGGGCAGATAAAGCATTAGTCTATGCTCACTGGTCTTCCAGTAAAAGGTCAAATGGAGAAACAGATAGGCTTCAAGTACAAGCATTGCCACGGTCAGTAACAGGATACCAGAACCCTCAACCCACCTGCAGTTGCGGTCTTCACTGACTTAGACGTGGAGGCGTTGGCAGCATTCTTAGTCTCCTTGTCTTTCTCTTCCCCACGTGTGGCTTTCACCTCAGGAGTGGTGGTGGTTTTTGTAGCCTTTTCTACGGAGTCTTTCTTCTTAGGAGAAGCCACTCTGGACACCTTATCTGAGGATTCCTTCAAGGCTCCTGGTTTAGGGGAAGCTGCCAGGGGCTTAGACTTCCCATCACCCTTTTTCACAGGGGAAGAGGACTTGGTCTTTGTGCCTGGCTTCTTGGTCTTGGCCTTCTCTTTCAGGTCTTTCTTCAGAGCTTTGCCTAGGTTCTGCTCAATGGCCAAGGCCTCTGGGTCTACCATGGACACATCCGGGTGGCGAGGAGATGGGCTGCGGTCTTGCATGGGGGCTGGAGGAGGGTCCATGTGTTTGTATGTGACAGTTTTGTCTGTCGGGATGGTTTCTGACTCATCTTCAGAGTCAATATTGGCATCAGCTGTGATGGAGGGGCACTCTTCTGTCTCCGGGGGAACATCAGAGTCGGTCTGGGATGGGGCTGACTCACTGACTGAGGTGGGAGGGGTTTCATCACACTGTCGACCCTGCTGCTTTCCTCCTGGAGGCGGTGGGGCTCCTCCAGACTGAGTGAGGGGCTTCTCAGATTCTTCAGTGGGCTCTTCACTGGTGAACCACTCGAGAGGATTGGGGTTAATGAAGGAGGGCGAGAGCTCTGTCTTGGGATGCTTGTATTCACAGGACGACACGAGGCATAAATCAACATCCTGGCGTGCCTCTGAAGGGGACTTCTCTGTAGTGTAGCTTCGGTCTGAAGTCTCATAGGAGTATGTGGATGCCTGTGGGGTCTTAGTGATTTTCTCCATGGTCTCATAACAGTATGTGGAAGTATCTGGACTCCGTGTTGTTTTTGTAGACGTTTCATAAGAGTAGCTTTCAGATTCAGGAAAGCTGGTAATTTTCTCAGTGGTTTCATAAGAGTAGCTACAGTCTCCAAGTGTGTGCCCACCGTCCTCAGAGTCATCATAGCCGTTGCTGATGTCATCCAGGAGCCTTCTAGACCTCTCAGTCTTTTCGTAGCAGTAACCACTCACTTCAGGGGTTTTTGTTGTCTTTTCACTGATCTCATAGGAGTACCCACCCTCTTCTGGGGTCCGGGTTGTCTTCTCGGTAATTTCACAGGCATAGCCACCGTCTTCTGGGGTCTTGGTGGTTTTCTCAATGGTCTCATAGGAGTACCCACTGTCACATGGGGATTTTATGGTTCTCTCTGTCTTCTCATAGTAATAGCCACCCACATCTGGGGTCCGGGAGGTTTTCTCATAAGTCTCATAGTCGTAATCTTCCTCATCTGGCGATCTGGTGGTTTTCTCAGGCTTTTGATAGGCATAGTTAAAGTCACCAGGTGTCTTCCCTCCACTGTCTTGCTCTATACCAGGCGTGGTCAAATCTCTATTCAAGGCTAGATGATGCTGCATTGTATCAAATAACATAGAAGCATGGAAGCCATAGGGCTCTGCGGATGCCACATCTACTGGTGGAGAAGAGGAGGTATGGCAAGCTGTTGCATTCTCTTTAGCTGCAGAGGTAGAATCTGAAAAGCCAGGTGAATATAAAGGTGAGGACTCTCGTGGGGTGAGTGGAGAAATATCAGATTTCGGAGACAGCTTCTCTCCTTCCAGACTTTGCACTTTCTCAGAGGTGAGGGAGGCATATAAGGACATATCTCTGGGGGGAGCAACATCAGAGAGAGTGTCTTCCTGAAGAGGAGAGGCTATCTGAGAAGGGGTGTGAGCAGAAGAGGTGGATGGGGAAGCTTCCACCTGAGACACGGAGATGAGCTCAGACAGATCATTATCCTGGGTGAAGGACGGCTCCTCCACTGGTGGGATTTTATGTGACAAGCTGGAGTCCTGCATGTCAGAAGGGCTATAGTCTACTTCAGTTGGCCCATTTTCAGTGATGTGAAGCACACCTGCACCCACAGTGGGGTGATCTGGAGACTGTCGACTAAAGTCCATAGCAACGGAGTGCTCAGGAGATTCCTGGCCGAATTCAATAGACATCGAAGACTGTTCGGACCGGTGATCTTGAACTGGTGTCCTGGATTTGGCTGTCTTGGGGGAGAGGTCTGGAGGAGAAATTGACATTGGTCTTGGGCACTCTTCTTTAGATGGAGACATTTCTGTTTCCTGGAAAGTTGTCGGTGTTTGCACAACAGATACTGAAAGGGAGTCATCTACCTCTGTGGAATGTGGGGAGCCCACTTCAGCATGCAAAGAAGGAGACACATCGTCCGTGGTTGGCTCTGGAAATGAGCTTGTAGCCACAGAGGCTGTAGAGACTGAGGCCACGCCCTCCATGTGAGAGTATGTGTCTTCTGCCACACCCTCATCAACAGGCGTGGCTGACTTGTCTGAGACAGTGCCTTCTGAAATGGACATCTTAGTGTCTTCTTTGAAAGAGCCAAACTGACTGACATCTATTTGTGTTGGAGAAACATCTCCTCCCAGTTTCCTTTCATCCAAAGCCAGTGCTGGTTGAGAACTCATGGTTTCAACATCATCAGATTTCTTTTCTGGACCAAAGCCTTCCTTTATTGGTATAAAGTCTGTGCTTTTCCCATCCTGTTTGTCTTGGTAAAGACCAGTGGAAGGCATTTCAGAAACTGGACTTATGTGGTCTGGGAAGCCCTGTTTTCCAGTCTTTCCTTCAAAGGGGCTTTCAGCATATCTGTCAAGAGCTTTGCTATCAGCACTTAGGAAGTCTTCGTATGCCGATTCAGATCCAAGCAGGGGAGGGCTGCGTAAAGGAGACAGAACTTTCTCAATAGGAGACTCTGAGTCAGGCACGGGTTCATCCATGGGGCTTATGGAAGCTCTTTCGCTCTCATCTTTGGTGTCGCTGAATTCAAAACTCACTGGAACTGCCGGTGGTTTTTCATTGACTTCTGTAGGGAGATGACTGGACTTCTCATCAGTGGGAGATTGGTAGTAAGGCGTGTGGCCAGCACTGCCAGTCACAGATTGAGATGGTGACACTACTTCCAGAGTCTTCTCTTCGGGACTGGCACAGTGTTCTTCAACTACTGCTTGGGTCACCTCAGGAGACACTGGGGCTGCTTCTGCCTCTGTGGAGACTTTAATCTCATTGGGCGTCAGGGAGAAGTTCACACTACGTTCACCCAAGGGGGTTGTCTTCTCTACGGGTGGTGGAGATGGACTCAGGGATGGACTCTTGGCTGGGCTAAGTCTTTCATCTGAAACTGCTGATATGGTATCTTTGATGTCCAACATGGCACTGGCTTTCAGTTCTCTCTCTTCAGAGCAGTAAGCATCACGTAAAGCAGACTTGCTGAATTTGTCTTCTTCCATGGATGAGGGTGGTGATATGGTGGAGGCTGAGGCATTATAATCCTTGCCATCAGTGGCATCTGTTTTTGACCCTTCTGACAATCCATTGAATGATGCAACAGCAGGTTTGGAGTATTCCTGAGAATACAGTGAAGACTCATATTTGGTGATGTTTACAAACTCCTGAGATGGTGATTCTGTCTCCTCGTTGTTGGTCTCATCACTCATCACATCTCGAGGAGTAGACATCTCATCCATTGGCGTGGGCTCGCTTGAGATCTCAATGGTAGACTGAGTGTATCCAGAGGTGGCCGTGAATTCCTCAGGCTGGTCTTCTCGATTCTCCTCATCTGAAGCAGTGGCCTCACTCTCTGAGCCTCCAGGTAAAGTCTCATCATGAATTGAGGAGGCAGGCTCTCGGCCGGGAGACTGGGCTCCGGGCTGCTTGGCTGATGCGCTAAGGAATCCATACCGCTCCTCAGCAACACCGGCCTCCGCAGCCTTGTCAACCACAGCCATCACATAATCTTCAGCCTCGACTTTTTCAGGCTCGTATTCTTCCTCTCTGGTATCTTCTGCTTTGTCCTCCTCTTCACCCTCCTCCTCAGATTGTTCGGCATCCCCTTTCTCAAGTGCCTCGTCCATGTCTTCTTCTGCTCGGTCATCACCACTAGCCACAGACTCCCTCTTCTCCTTGATGAGCACATCTGCCTCAGCCTTGGTGCTTTCATCATCTTCAGTGGGGCTGTGCTTGGAGGCACTCCCACTCACGTTGTCTTCTCCGTCCTCTTCCGGCTCCTCGGCCTCCTCAGTTTCTGCCTTTTCTTCATAGTCCCCAGTTTCTGAGGATTCTTCAAAGCCGGCTCCTTCATCTTCAAATTTCTCAGTGTCGTCCACCCTCTGCTTCTCAACTGGCTCCAACTCCTCCGGTGTTTGCTCGCATTCCCCCTCCCCTTCAGTGGTAGTGATTCCCTCATCCGGAGACTCGGCGGATCCCTTGATGACTTCGGTCTCTTTCTGGATGACGTAGGCTTCCACGGGCTCTGTTTCCTTCAGTTTCTCTTCATCTTCAATAAGCTCTAGCTGAGGTTTGATGTCCTTTGCCACATCGATCTCCTCAGCCTTCAACTCCTCAAAATCCTTGGTGAGATCCTCGGGAGATGACATTAGGGACCTCTCGGTTTCGAATTCTTTGGCAGGGCCAGTGGCTGCACTTCCCGCCGCTGCTACTGCTACTGCGGCTGCTGTGGTGGCCGCACTGCCAATGGCGGCGGCTGCAGCCTCTGCGGTCTTGCCGTCCTTCTTAATGACTTTAATCTTCCCCTTCTCTTTGGGCTTCCCAGTAGCAACGGAGTCTTTCTTGGTGGGCTCTTCCTTTTTCGGTACTTTTGGCTTTAACGCAGTTGGTTTTTTTGTTTCTGATAGAGGAGTCGATTTCTTTACGTCTTTGGAGATCTTCTTAATTTCCTTCTTGGGTTCCTTCTCTTCTTTTTTACCTTCCTTCTTTTCGTCTTTCTTCACGTCCTTCTTGGCTTCCTTCAGGGGTGTTTCCTTTTTAACCTCTTTCTTGGGCTCTTTCTTCTCTTCTTTCTTGACTTCTTTCTTGACCTCCTTCTTCACCTCTTCCTTTTTCAGTTTTTCATCTTTCTTGACAGGTGTTTTCTCCTCCTTTTTAGCCACTTCTTTCTTGGGCTTCTCCTCTTTCTTTTCTTCTGGTTTTGCCTTTATTTCCTTTTTCACCACCTTGTCTTTGATGACTTTGGGTTTGCTGTCAGTGGCTTGCTTCTCGGCCACCTCGGCTTTCACTGGGGACTGCTCCTCCTTGCTGGGCACCTCCTTTTCTGTCACTGAAGGTTTGGCCTCTACTTTCACTGGCTTGTCTTTCTTCACTATTACTTTCTCTTTGCTTTCAACTTTGGGTGTTTTTTCCACTTGATTGGCTTTTGTGACTTCAGCGGCTTCTTCTTTGGACTCCTTCCGCACTGATTTGCTGAGAAGGGGTTTTGCAGCTGGCTTCAGACTTTCTCGGCTGTCAGCCCTCTGTTTCAGTTTGACTTGTTTCACGGTGGGGGTGGGGACCTGGCCAGTGAGATCTTTTTGGGTGGCCAGTGGCTGCTTTAGGAAGTCTAGATGTTTGAGTTTTTCTAGCCCTTCCAGTATGTTGTATTGGGTGCTGTTTCCGGGAAAGAGAACGCGGATGATTTTCTCGGCAGGGTTGGCTGGATGCCACACGATCAAAGATGAGACTGAAGTTAAGTAGGAAATTGGGATATCTACTTCTTGACCATTGGGCAGGATTAGTTCTGCCTTATCTTTGTTGGTGCCAGTCCACTGCTGCATAAAATATTGCATTTCCTTGCTGGTCTTGACTGGGTTAAGCACATACATCTCAAGTTTGCCCACTCCCATTTTTTGGAAAAGGATGACAGGCTCAATGGTATTGCCTACACTTCTAAATAGAGGCTCTGGTTTCATGGACAGTTTATTTAGATACTGAAGGGTGAAGCACGCTTCCTCTATGCTTCTCTTCATCTTGATGTTGGGCTCTGGGTTTTTCAGATTTTCAGGTACATTGAGAAACACAACTCCTAAGTCAGGGGAGATGAGGTTTTTCATCCAGTCACTATTGGTGGTGGAGCCCTGGGACTGCTCCTCTTCCAGCTCTGCAATTTTCCGCTGCAGCATGCTATTGATTCCAGGTAAATTGTCATCCCCAATGTGGGTGAGCAGGATGGAGTCCACGCGGTCCAAGTGCCGGATGAGCTTCCAGAAGCACGATTTTCTTTCTGAGCCTCCGTTGATGAGCATATTGAATCCGTTCACTGCAAAAAGGGCAGAATCACCCCGCCCCCCTGGGAAAATGTAACAGCAGGGCTTGGAGAGCTTGAGAAAGCCACCTGAGGTTGGGGGTTCCAGGATGTCAAAGGGAGATGGGACTTCCACTGATTCTGAAAGATACTCAGTAAACTCAGAGAGTCCTTCCATTTCTGGCAAGATAGAAGCTGAGTTGAGCTTAATATTGATGAAGTCTTGGAGATTGTGTCTGTCAAGATTGGAATTCTTCCAGTCCCCTTCCTCGGGACAGAAGAGGGTTAGGCTGGCTTTGTTGGCAGGGTGGGTGGTACTCAGTAGCTCCCCAATCTGGGTTTGAAAAGAAGAAAGGAAGGAAAGGTTAAGTGGCTGTCACCACTGACCCATCACCTCCATCCATTATTGGTTTCTATAGGATCACTGACTCCATGATGGACCTATTTCAAAACTACACTTGGGCAGTGGTACTGTTTCAGTACTGGTAAATTTGCATCTTGGAAGGTGGAAAGCCTCTGTCCTGAGTTCCCCAGTGTACTTTCTGTGACCATAAATACCCATCCAGCTTAGCTCCTCCTCTGGAATCCTTTCCCCATGTCTTTGCCCCAGAACTCTGCTCCAGTTCTAAAACCTGCATATCATCTGGGTGATTGGTATCTGTGCCACAGCAGTTATGAAATAGCTTATCTTGTCCATGGCTATTTACCATGCAAAGATGCCCTTTAAAAAAATATTAAAACTATCACAGGAAAAAAACTGTGGCAGTCATCTCTCAACTGATTTAAAACTTTTGCTTTTCTTAATCCACTGGACTTGGCAAAGGCCTGACTGAAACATTAGAGGAATTCAGATAATAATATACATTTTGCTATCTCCTTTTAGAATTCTATAGGCCCAAAAGAAAAAAAAAAAAGTCTGGTGGGGTTTTTTCCCCCTCTAGGAGACAGGAATTTATAGATTGACCATTTCTATTAAAAATTACTAGTTTAGGGCTAGAGAGATGGCTCAGCAGTTAAGAACACTGGTTGTTCTTGCCGAAGACCTGGGTTCGAATTCCAGAACCCACATGGCAGCTAACAACTGTTGGTAACTCCAGTTCCAGGGGATCCGACAGACTGTTCTGCCCTTGCCGACATTGCACAACATGGGTGCATTTACCTACATGCAGGCAATACACTCATACACACAAAATAAAAATAATAAAATATTTTTTAAAAAATTACCCTCTTTCCTGGACACCAGGGCTCACCTCTAGGCTGGGAACAACCACTGCTTCCTGATCCTTTGCATCCATCCTTCTCGTGGTCCCCAGGAGCCCTCTGGGCCTGGTCCTGCCCTCACCTCTCTCTGCTTCCCTGGGCTGCACAACCTGCCAGCCTCTTTTTTGGACACTAGGGCTGACCTCTAGGCCCGGAACCACCACTGCTTCCTGATCCCTTGCATCAGACAAACCCGGTTCCGAACCCAGTTCCTTCTCAGGGTCCCCAGGAGCCCTCTGGGCCTGGCCCCACCTTCACCTCCATCTGCTTCCCTGGGCCCACACAACGCACTGGCCTCTCTCCTGGGTAACTCCACCGCCCCTCTGTGCCTAGACTCCCTCAGCCCCATTCACTCTACCATCTCTGCTGCCCATCTCTCCTGCTAGCCTGGTACTGTCCCATTCCTTGTCTTGGCACCCCAGACACCGGGGGAACCACCACTGCTTCCTGAGCCTTTGCATCCAGACCAACCCAGGTCCTTCTCATGGTCTAGGGGGCCCTCTGGGCCTGGTCCCGCCCTCACTTCCCTCTGCTTCCCTGGGCTGCACAACGCTCCAGCCTCTTTCCTGGACACTGGGGATGACCTCTAGGCCCAGAACCACCACTACTTCCTGATCCCTTGCATCCAGACGAACCCAGGGGCTGACTTCTTGGCTTCCTGATCCTTTGCATCCAGACCAACCCAGTTCTTCCCCATAGTCCCCAGGAGTCCTTGGGGCTTCTTCCTGCTCCCTCCATCTCCCTTTGCATCTCTGGCTGGCAAAGCCACCAGCTGCCTGAGACGAGCATCTTTCCTGGGCCAGGCTCCCAGGCCAGTCCAACCCCCAAATTCCTGAGGACAGCATCTTTCCTGGAAGGATCCAGACCTTAGGAGAAATACTGTGAGCATCTGATTCTCATCTGATTTGGGCCTCTGTGGGAACTCCTGAAGACAAAAGCAGTCTGGCCACTCCAATATAAAATCAAAAGAGAGAACTGGAAGCTTAGAGGAACCAGCCTTGCATGCCCAAAAATTAAACCAGGAAGACACATAAAGGTCACAAAAAGAAGCAGACCTAAACTTGAAGGCTTGAGTCTCACACAAGAATCAGAAACTGCAAAAGAAATTCACATGTCAAAATCACAGAGAAAAAATAATAACAAGAAAATCCAAAATAACATATCTCTACCAAATATCAATAGTCCTCTAGAGGAGTACAATGAAAACCCCCTAGAGATAATGCAGGACCTGGAAATCAAAAGAACAGTTATAAACATGATAAAAGAATTCAGTGAATTTAAAGAACACAAAAAAGAAATCAAAGAAGTGAAGGAAAATAGGGATAAACATCTGAATGAATTCAGAAAAGAGCTAGAAATATTGAAGAATACTCAGGCTGAAATCAAGAAGGAAGTGAAACACTCAGTAAGCCAACTAGAAATGACAGGAGAAAGCCTCACTAATAGAATGAACAAAACGGAAAACAGAGTATCAAGCCTGGAAGATAAAGTGGACGAACTGGACCACTCAAGCAAAGATTATGAAAAATTTAAGAAATCACAAGAATGGAATATGCAGGAATTGAGTGATACCATAAAAAGACCAAACTTACGAATCATAGGCATACAGGAAGGAGAAGAATCCCAAGATAAAGCAGACCTGTGTTACTGAACCTGGTCTCCTGTATCTGAATGCGGCTCCACTGACACAGTCTCCTCACCAGCCCTGGGGTCCGGGACCAGGCAGAAGCAGCAACGACAGGAGGCAGCACAGGGCAAGCAGAAGCGCTGCCTCAGCACCAGGCAAGCAGAAGAGTGGCCTCAGCCCAGGGCGAGTGGAGGAGAAGCCTCAGTGCCCGTGAGAACGAAGGGGCGGTGCCCATGAGAACAGAGGAGCAGCCGCCACTGGCGGTGACCACAACAAAACAAAGAGACAATACTGAAAGCTGCAAAAGAGAAACAACAAGTCATATATAAAGAAAAACCTATTAGGATTACAGCTGACTTTTCAGTGCAAACTATGAAAGCCAGAAGAGCCTGGACCAAAGCATTCTCAGGTTTAAATGACCACAGATGTCAACTCAGATTTCTATACCCAGCCAAAATGTCTACTGTAGTCAAAGATGAAAGAAAAATCTTCCACGACATAAATAAGCTGAAGGAATTCATGTCCACAAAACAAGCCCTTCAGAGAGTTCTGGAAGCAACACAAAGCTGAAGAAAGGAATGACTATACCCAAGGGATTGCAGAAAGAAATTCAATGAAGGTATAACTGTGGAAAAGTACGGCTATATCAAGAATGGGAACAGAAATAAAAATGACAGGATTCAATAAACATCTTTTATTAATAACTTTATTAACAGACTGAACTCCCCAATCAAAAGACACAGACTATGTGAATAGATTAGGAAACAAAAGCCATCTTTTTGTTGTCTGCAAGAAAGTCATCTCACTTTCAAGGACAGGCACTATCTTAAGGTGAAAGGATGGAAAAAATATATACCAAGCAAATGGTACTAAGAAGAAAATAGGCACTGCAATTTTAATATCTTACAAAATAGATTTTAAACTAAAACTAATCAGAAGAGATAAAGAGGGCCACTTCCTTCTGATCAAAGGAACAATAAACCATGAAGACATTACAATCATGAACATTACATTCACCAAACTCTGGTGCACCCAACTTCATAAAAACAATACTACAGGACTTTAAGACCCAGATTAATCCCAACTCATTAATAGTAGGGGACTTCAATACCCCACTGTCTCCATTAGATAGATCAACAGGGCAGAGAGTTAACTAAGAGACATCTGAATTAAACAATGCCATATATCAAATGGGCTTAACAGAGATCTAACAAGTATTACACCCATGCACCAAAGGACATACTTTCTACTCAGCACCCCATGGAACCTTCTAGAAAATCAACCATATACTGGGGCACAAAACAAACCTCAATAAATACAAAAAGACTGAAATAC